CTAACTCGTCGAAAGCATTGTTCTCGATTTGCTAAAAAACATTAGCTCCACCAAAATCTCACCCGTTTACCCAGGATCTCCTCGATTTTCTTTTTCTTCTTGGTGATGGAGTTGTTATAGTCGAAGACGAACGTCTTGTATCAATCCTCGCTGGGGCTGAATGCCTAAAAAGAAGCTTAAAAATTCATTAGAGAGTTTGTTACCTTCTTCCCGGCCAAAGCCTTGAGTACAGCGAAAGACGAAGACGAAGAATTGCTAAAAACAACAATAATAAGATAGAGAAACCACAAAAACCAAGTCACTCTGAATCGCGTGAAGACGTTGATCGCGAAGCTTCTTGACGATTGAAACGAGTGGAGGTTCCGTTGCGAAGAGATTCTAAGGCCATGAAGACACCAACGAATGCATCAGCTCATCCAACACCTAAACAAAATGATTTATAAGGAACCATACAAAATCAAAAACAGAATAAAAGCCAACCTGCTGAGCAATGGGCAATTACTGATCCAGGATTTTTCGCGAATTGCCCAGCCACCTCAGAAACCAAACGCAAAGCCGCTTTCGTATCTTCTGGAGCGCAGTGATCCTGCCATCAGTCAAAACGATAATGAGTGACCTAAAACAAACGGTTAGGGAACATTTTCATTGAGAAGCTTCACCTTTCACATTATTAAGAATTTGATCAAGCTACGAGATCAATTTAACATTAACAACTCCGATATCTTACAGAAAAAAACTTAGCTTCACATTTTCTGTAGTTGTAAAACCACCGATGGAAATTCCAATCTCAATTTATTGATGATCCTTACCAAAGAATACTAACTCAAACCAGAACTATCTAAAGTTTAAAAGAAAAACAGTGTTGTGATAAAGCAATAATAAGTAGATTAAAAGAATAACAGCTTGAATTTCTCGCAAAGTCCTTTGATGTCATTCTTCTTGCATTCGTTGATGAAGGCGGCTCTGGCTTTGCTCCAGCTCGACTCCAGCTCGACTCCAGCTCCAGCTCGACTCCAGCTCCAGCTCGACATCGAGCGAGCAAGCGGGGTGAGACGAAGAATGATTTTTTTTCGCTGCTGAGCTTTGTTTTATGCTGGGTTAAATGGAAATTTTTAATTTTCAGACAAAAAGCAAATTTTGGAGATGAATTTAGGTATAAGTGCAAATCAAGCTTCGATTCCATTGCCTTCATCTTAAAAGCTTTCTCTGTCTTTGAATTTCAATTGAATAACAAGCTTTATAGGTTCAAAATCTATTCCTAACCTTTCCCATACCCTTTCCAATACCCTATTTTCGTGTAGTACCACAACCTTTCAATGTTCCATTTTTAACCTCTACTCACTATACAAAATCAAATGTTCAAATACTACAAATACTGCAACTTCTCGTACCATCAAAAGCCATGAGAAATTTGTTTGATTTTGAGGGAAAATTCACGTCAAACACTCCAAGAATTCGCAAATTTTTCACACAAAATTGAAAGAATTTCCGAATTTCTCAAAATTTTTTCTCAAGGACAAGACTGGAGAAATTTTAGTTCCTCCCCATTTCGAGAGGATTTGTGTTCCGAGAAAATACACATTCAAGTCTTTTTTTTTGCTCTCGAATCGGATAACTACACTCCCTCTCACTTTCCCAATAATTCTTTAAATTCTGTTTTCCTTTGTCAATGAAAGCACTTTTTTTTGATCCGGCTCACCGAAACATTTGTACTTGAATTCTTTCAAAACTTTGTCCTGTATCGTCTAGATTATTATTTTTTCATTAAAACATGAATTATAAGCAAAAATATAGCAATAAAGCAAATAAAGCAAAAAGCAGAAAAAAAAGCATAGATTTCAAATAACTGAATCAGAGAAAAAGTGCGTTTTAGCAAAAAGCAAAAAACTTTTGTTTTTTTTTTAAAGTCCGACATTCCTTTCTGAAGCTTTACGAAAACAAAAGCATTTTGCTAAAAGACTGAGGGTTTAAAATTACAGTAACTTAACAACGATAATTGTAACGTGTTAGAGTCCGTTTCCAAGTTGAGCATCGTTTTTTCTTATCCCTTTATCTCCAGCTCTTAATCACAAACTTTTTCAGGCTCAATGCTATTAGAGCGACTGAGCAGTCGCCTAAACTCGACTCGTTTCGGCCATTTCTCTCAAGATTTCCATCCAAATTTTCACTCCTTAATTCTCTCGAGTCTCATCATCGCCTTCAATATTTTCGGTCTTTTCGGCAACTCAAATCTAATCTGGGCCACATGGAGAAACAAAGAGCTGAGGAATAAACATGGTTGGTTAAACTACCGTAAATACTATAATAGTACCCCACCACCCATAATGACGGTGCGAAGTGTTGCGTAGTCTAGCTTTGAATGAGTTTTTCTCGACACTGGTTTATGCTAAAATGCTCGTTTAGGTATCAAAAAATAGCCCTGAATTTCAGCTATTTTTTGATACCAAAGACACATTTTTTGAACGTACGGGCGCTTTGAAAAAATACTAAAAACTGAAATACTAAAAAACTTTTGCGATTACGCGACTGTACGAGGGGGGTGGGGTACTATTACAGTATTTACGGTATCTACTTAATCATAGTGTCCTTGCAAGTAACGGTATGTGGTTTAAAAATTCAAATTGCAATTTGGATGATTAGTTTTAAGTTAAAGAAATCAAAAAATCAAGCCATTTCAATTAAATGAAATTTTCTCAGGTTCTCTGATGCTATGGTTCTGCGTCTTCCACAATCTTTGTCTCATTTCCGAGCTCAGCTACGTGTTCTTGAATAATTTTAGTGAGTTTAACTAGAGTTTAACTAGAGTTTAACTAACTTTTTCAACCCTTTATAAACAGTTTCAAGTTTCAGTTTCCCAACATGGTTGGATTCTCGAGGATTGCCTTCGCGTGTCAATCCCGCATCTCTTTGTCTCATCTGTTCAAACGGTGCTGTCCGTCTCGATCTCTCTCGATCTCCTCATTGCCCTTCTATGGCCTTTTCAGTGAGTTTTTTCTTTGCTTATTAAAGTGTAATCCTTACTACCGTATGTCAAAATTAAATATTCAGCTGTCTTTCTGAGTATTTTTGATTTAGATTTGATTTGATTGATCGAGATTAACTATAGTAGAGGCTTTTACTTACAATTAGACTTTATAATCCCTTTTAAAACGGATCTAAATATTAGATTTGTTCAATAGAGCTTTAACTTTTTCTTCTCACAAACGCAACCAATCTGGCAGACTAATTTTAGACTTTGCTTTTGGAAAAGTCTTTGGTTAAAACAAAAAGCCAAACCAATGACCATGAGTAAAAACTCAGGAAAAAACGTTGATTCGTTGAAGGTGCTATTGCATAGTCTGACTAAGATCTATACTGTTGTGTCCATATCCCTTGGTTCAGGCAGAATATTTATTAAAGCACCGGAGGGTTTATATACCGAAAAGTTGAGTGGGAAATCTTTTGAAAAGGTCTATGTTTTGGCTAGCTTGTGTCTGGGGAAATCGCGGAAAGATTTTTGGAGGATAAAGGAGGATTAAGAGGGAACATTGATTGATAGATTTTAAAGAGAAATAGAGTTTATCGGAAGAATTTCCGAACATATACCATTTGTAACCTTTAAAATCCAATCCAAGCCCATTCTCAACGTTCAGACATCGTTTCTACTCACTAAAGCGCTACGTGTCCCTTTTTCTCTTGCCCGCCTTCATCTACGCGCTGATCACGATCTGTTGGGCGGTGATCGATAAAAATAAAGATAAAGTAAAGCATCCAAAGCTAAATCAACTACTCTCAATTTGTTCAGCTTTCTTGGTGCAACGGCGCACTCGCGCTCACCGGTTCCTCCTTAATTTGGTGGCTTTCCTCAAATGTCAGCCTCAATTGCGTAAACGTTATCGTCTACGGTGCATTGTATATATTAATCGCAAGAAATGGTATGTTAAATATTTAAACTTTTGAATTTATTGAAATATTAAGGCACACAAGCCGATCGAATCCGTCGTACCTACTCGGATGAGAGTCGAAATCGCGGAGGTGGTAAGGCGAAGACCACTGAAAAAAAGGTTTGTTTTAAAAAGAAAAAGGAAGTTGATAATCGTTATTGTAACGAAAATTGTATCAAAAATCGGCTTACCTGCTTTATTGTTCAAAAAAAAGCTTACCTGAAACATTCTTTTTTTTGGCACAGCGTTCCGATGATGCTGGAGCAAGAGTTTCCGTTGAATTCAAGTTCATCATTGCTTCAAATCAAAGAAATCTCTTGATTCCAGGTGCTTCGCAGTCTCTCAGTTCTCCTTGCCGTCTACCTCTTTTCCTGGTTTTCCTATATCATCGGGATCACCATCGTTCGCGATCTTCCCCTATCCCAAAAACGTTCCCAACTACTGCAAAGCTATTCAGTAAATCGATAAACTAAAGTCTCTCGTTTTAAAACGATATTTCAGGTGATTCTCGCACTAATTTGCTATTCTCAGAACTACTACGTGATGTTCATCCTCTCAAATACTTACAGAAGAGCTTTCATGGAACAACTCTACATATTGATTTGCAAAGACGTGAGCGAATCGATGAGAAAAAGTGACCCACTCACAAAAATTAGGTTCCGGAAAAGTACTGGCCGATGTCGGTGACCGCCTCTCGGAGAGCTTCTCAGAATTGGCAAAAAGGCTCGCTCGGAAGCGGTGAGTTAGAAATCATGCAAATCCAATCAAAATATCCAATTCAGCTGGCAGCCACCGGTGGTTCTCTGCATTCCTCAGTTCGTCGACCTGCTCGCATGCATCGAAGAACCTCTTCTCTACCAGATATTCACAAACTAGACCCGTCAACCCTAGCAATAACACAAAAGCGTTCTCAGCCAAACTTTTTACCGATTCCCTAATTTTCACTGATTTCTTTTACGGGTAAAAATCCCGGGTTTCATCGATCTCCTCCTTGATCTCGAAATAAATATTTTGTGCAACTCTGTCTCAAATCATATAAACAGGGCAAATAAAAAACAACTTTATTTTGATTCTCTATTTCTTCTTTCTACTCCCGGTTGGAGATGCTGGCGGGCTACCGTCACTAAACACCAACAAGTTAAAGTTATAATCTTCTAAAAACCAACCTATCAATAGTTCTCGGGATCGACTCGTTGATGGTCGGATCTTCGCAGCAGAGATCGTAGGCTCGATAAATTTCGGGGCAAAGAACGGTTGATCCATCTCCACGAAACAGTCTGCAAATGATAAAAGTCAGCTTCACTCAAAACTTTCTCAAAAAATCTATGTTCGATTCAACGCTATAAAAATTCGAGATCACTGTTAATTTTTAAACGTAGTTAATGTTAACTTGTTGTTAAATATCAATCAACCAACCTACGTATTCGTACGTAGAACTTGAGCAATATCAAGTATCGGTCGAATCTTTCGCGATAGTTTCATTGAGTGCAGCCTTGTCCATCGAAGCATAGTCCACAAAACCACTAAAACAAACGAGATCATATTTATTTTAGGTAAAAGTGCTTTTATAAAAATAATCAAATAATCATAAGCAACTAACCTAGGATTGATGTCCCGGCAATGGCTTGAAGATAGAGTCGTGAAGCAACGGTAAGGCCATGTAGAACGAGACTAAATTGACTAGAGATTAATAAAATATAATTACGTTTAACCTCTCAATGTCTTTTTCATGACTGAACTAAAGTAACAAGCTTTCAAAAGTACAAACGAACCTTGTTAGGCCAAATGTGAACAACGCCAGAAGTGAAGCATACAAACGGATTGCCACGTCACGCCGCACCCGAAAAGATCGGTCACTAAACAAAAAACAATAAGTGCTACTCTCGATTATAACACTTCGGTCTGGTCTTTTAAACAATGGGCAACAACAAAACTTACCTTACTCTAGTCGATTCGGGAGAGCTTCCGACTCTCTGCTTGCCCTCCAATAAGTCAAGATCTGATGGCGAAAGTTTCGCCTTCACGTGACCGCTAAACAACAATTTGACTAAATAAATGGTTTCAAAAGTTCCACTCGTGTTTGTCTTCAATAGCGAGATCTTGAAAAACGAAAAAGTCAGAGTTGTTTTTGATAGTTCACGCGTAAAATTTATTGAGCAATAAACAAAATGACTATAACAACACCGAATTAGCTGGAACCATAACAAACCTATCGGGAAATTCAAACGAAACACGATCTTCACTCATTTAAATTTCAAATGAAAATATCGTAGCGCTCGGAAAATACAAAAAAATAAACTATGATTTTTGAAAGTGGCAATTGGGGAAATCAAGAAAACTATACATGCAAAGTATAAAATGTACATGCTAATATCTTGGAAATTCTTGATCAATCTCGTCGGCCCATCTATCGTATCCACCGATGATATCTTTCACTTGAAATCCGTTAGATTCGATCTCTGATTTGAAACGCTCCTAAAGAAATAAACAAGTTACATGCAAAATTTACAGCTTTACCTGTATCAATCGAACCGCCAACTGAGAGTCGTTTCCGCGATGACAAATCACGAAAACTAGAATGGAATTTATTTGATTCTTGAGATTAATTAAAATATAATTACTGATTGTATTTGAGCTAAAACAAAGAAGTACTTACCATCAGCCGCTTCAGACAATCCCAGCAACTTTCGTAGTTCTATGTCTTCCAGTTGCTTTAACGAATCCATTGGAATATCTAAAACAAAAGAATAGGTTAATTGAAAACGTTTTGTTTCAAAAACGTCTAAACCATAGCAAAAACATCTACTTCGTGCTTCAGGAAGCGATGCAATCGCAAATTCGTGTTTGGGTCGAGTGTCTACCAAAATGGTCGGTGATTTTCTCGCCGTCGAATACTCGCTCACACTGACGCGTTCATTTGGATCCAACAACGAGAGTGATGGATTCTAAACCAAATTTAGTAACCACTAAAAGCTTGTCACCACCTTATCTACAACCCCGGAGCCACAAAAGACTTCGTAATCGATCGGAGCGTGAATTGTGGGTGCTTCCCTAAAAAGGAAAGTTAGAAGTTTAATATTTTCCAACCAACCCACAAACGGCACAATCTTTTTGCTTCCGGCGTAAATTTATGATCCTTGTTCGAAAACGATGGGCGTCAAAGAGAAAAAGTTTCCCAGAAAGCGTTTCTAAAATCTCGTTTGAATCATTGAAATTTTAGCGCACCTCCAGTATTTGCTATAATTTTGATGACTTCGAGGGCTTGCATTGATCCGATCACTCCAACAACCGGTCCCATTACCCCTCCTTCACTGCAGTTCGTGACCAAATGTGCGGCTGGTGGATGTGGGAAGAGACAGCGATAACATGGACCATCCTAAATTTCTCTAATTGCAACATGCGTAAAAGAAAGCAATCCCAAACTCGCCTCTCCGTAATTGTAGACAGTAAGTTGACCTTCCCAGCGTAATGCGCTACCACTAACCAGAGGCTTATTAAGAAAAACGCAGACGTCATTGAGCATATATCTAAAGGATTTACTTTTCAATATTGGTAAATTGTAAAACTGGTTTAATTCTTAGTCTGAACAAAATAATTTCTGATGCAAACCTTGTAGCTGCATTATCTGAACAATCGGCAACAACATCAAAGTCCTTGGCTATGTCCATCGTTTGTGCTCCATTCAACACCGTCGAAAATGTTCGCACGGCGATATTACTGTTTAAACTAAAGCAACTTGATCAGACAAACTTCAGCAATATTACCTTAGAATACTTTGCTTCAATGAATCCACTTTCAATTTTCCAACAAGCGTCTCCGAATGGGCAACTTGACGATGGAGATTATCCTTGGAAATCTTAAATCATGCTGATTATGAAATCGATCAATTTGACCGTAATTTTACGACAGCAATTTAAAGTTTACCTTGTCAAAATCAGCAATTCCAAGCGTTCCAACACCAGCTCCTGCTAGGTACATGGCTGTCGGGCATCCAAGTCCACCTGCACCCACCACCAACACTCGTGCCGCTTTCAGTCCCTTCTGACCTATCATAATAGCCAAAAAATACCAGATACGTTGGTTAAAGCAAACCATTGACTCCAAATTCGTGAACAAGTAGCTGACGACTATACCTTTCCACGTCAGCCTTCGATAAATTCTCGTCCATCCTAAACAAGTGTCCTTTGTTTGTTTATTTCAGTGTAAGATGTTAAAGTATTCAGATGATCGTACAAATCAAGTTTTTCAAACCGCATTGAGGCAAAATATTTATTCTGAAAGACATTCACTTGAGGTTCATCATTTAGTAACAAACATCGAAAAAAAAATTATCGGAACAATCTGCATAGAAACATAGCGACCAATTTCCCGGTTAATGGGTTACACATAAATCAATGAGATTCAAGTCGGATAAAGCGAACAATAAAACTAAAAGACTAAATACAAGAGCACAAGATTGACAAGCAACCCATAGTCAAAGCTGACTAACACTGAACAAAATTTTCCGCGTCATGCTGGTTCAAAGTGAGCTTTTCCAGAAGCCTGTCCATCGCGTCGATTTCTTCTTGGGGAAGATCGCTGAAGCTCACATCAAACTGATTCTCCTTGTCGAACCCATAGTCACGCTCCTAAAAATACAAGATCATTTGTTTAAAAGTTAGACCTATTTTTAAAACATTTTTAAAAACGGCACTCTAAAAACATGATACAGCCTGTCTCAGTCCTTAACAAATGATCATCAAATAAAAGCCTACCAAAAGAACTGGACAATCTCCAAATGGTTCATCAAAATGAAAACGACCGTCATCTTCATCCGTTCCTCCAAAACGCTCAATGGGCTCAGCGTTTCCAACATATTGAGTTAAAGTAGCCTTCTAAACTTTCCCCCATTATTGAAATACCATTGCAAAACCTTAAGTACGGGAGCGGGCCTGGCGAATTCTTCGAGATGAAATCGTCCATCATCGTCGACTCCATCAAAATGTTCGATTGGTTCCTCATCTTGCAGCAATTCCATCTTCTTTGGAGTAGATTCTTGGATGACCGGAGTTTTGAGTTGATAAGGCGACTTCAACATGTAATAATGGTCATCATCAACTCGCGATGAATAGTCAATCTAAAAAAGCTTCTATAATGAATAACATTTTCAAGTTTTAGATTCATTAAAAACATTACACCATAACTTACCTCAGGCACAGTTGAAAGTGTTGTAGAATCGGCGCTATTCTTCAGCTTTTCTTCGCTGTTGATACTCGCCTAAAATAACACAATCAATCATTTCATAAAGTTAACTCAACAACTCTTTATGATAGGGTAGACTATACATATCATTAATTTTGTTAAAACTTGATAAATAACATTAATTTTTTAAATCTAGGAAAAACAAAGTTCTCACCTTCAGAGTAGCAGGTTTGCTTCGATTAGGCAGCGGCGTCCTATTAATGCCGATTTCGGCAAGGCCTCGACGGTAAACGCTCATCTGAAATTTATTGGAATAGAAACTCTATAGCTTACAAATTATATAGCAAACAACATCCATAAAACAAGAAAAATACATGATCAAAGTCAGTAAAACATGAAAAAGCAATAAAAAATTATAATTTATGCCGACTCCTTTTCAATAGTTTCACGAACACGATCGGCTTCTGTTGGGGTTGGGAATTGCATCAGGTAAATCGCAATCTCTTTGTCACCCGTCGGGCACATGATCCGCAACTTTTTACCGTCCACTTTTGCGACCTTCATCGTTTTGTTGACTAGGGCATTCACCCAAATGGTGCCCACAGTGGTTGCCGCTCGAACGAGGACACTTTTCTTGCCGTCTTTCTCTTTCATGTGGAGCATCCCAATGCCCAACTTTTCATACTGCTTGTCCACCATTTTGTGAACAGAACATTTGACACTGATAAAAGCGTCCGGCTCTGCACCCTCAACAACTTCAGCTTTGGGAGGCACATATTCGCCTTCTTCTCCATCTTCTTGACCCTCGCCTTGTGAATTCGCTGTCAATGGTGGCCCGAAAGTTATTTTTAGACCAGTAGAATCGTGGGAGTTGAGCGTGGGAATCGAGCCGCCAGCTGGTCCAAAAATGTTCGGTAGTTCACTTGTTCCAGTCGGTCCAAATATCGACTTCGTTGAATCCGAAGTTCCAAAATCGAGCTTGAGTCCTTCTTGCGAGTCGCCAAAAGTGGGTGGTCCAAGTGTCTGCGAAAAGTTTGTAAAGGTCGGCTTTGAGGAAGACTCATCCTTCTTCAAGAAATTCGGAAAGGCCGCCTTTGGGGAACTTTCATCTTTTGCTGCAGCAGCTTTCAAGAAGATCGAGTTCGTTGGTGGCGTTAGAGTCTTGGCAAACACGGACGAGTCGAGCGGCTCCTTGCTTTCCGTGCTTTTGACAGACTCCTCCGGTGTTTTATCGCTTGTAAAAGAAAACCTCTTGATCAAATCGGTCTTCTGTGCTGGGCTGGTCTTAATAGTGGTCGCCGTTGGCCCATCGCTGTCTTTCTTCCCAAAGTTCCAAAAGTCTGCGCCAGCTTTTGGGAAGCTTTGTTTTCCGGTCATCAGCTTTGAAGTATCCAAAGTTGCTTTCGAATCCATCGTCTTTTCTTCGCGAAAAACGACCGACTCAGGTTCACCCAAAGGTCCACCGCCTCGAATCGCCCGTTTTCTGCTGCCACCAGGAGGTATGTCCGGAGTCGGAGTTGCCTGCATTGAATCATTTGGAGCAATTGTCGAAACATCGGAAAGACGCATGCGTGGAGCATTCACACTGAGCGGCGTCGAAGACGAAGCGACAATGGTGGTGTTCTTTGACGTGTTCGAACTCGGCGAGTCTCCAGTTGCTCGTCTCTTTGCCTTTGCAATCACTCGATTCACTAGCGTCTTCCTTTCATCTTTTTCTTCATCGTGGTAGTAAGTCGAATCGAGCTCCTTCACGTGTTGTAAGTATGATTTCACAGTTGGCGTGAGATCATAGTGCGGGCATCCATCTACCCAATTCTGCAAAGCTTTGATGAACCCTTTGTTGAGGGAAACCATCTTCTCTTGGAATTGGTCTCTCATCTTTTGTTTGCTGTAGATGTCCAGGGTAGTCATCTCTGAAAAAAATAGTTAAGCACTGGCTTTGCAAAGATAAAACAAGAAAAAAAGCATAAGAAATCCAAATTTGCCAGTAGCAAAACGTTTTTTGGGTCAATTTTATAAGCAACAGATGTAGAATAAGGGATATTGAGTAGAAATTTGGCGGTAAAATGGTAAAATTTAGCCAGAGGCAAGAAAGTTAGCAAGCTTTTGATAAGGGGCGACCTAGCCAGCAAGCTACAAAAAAATAAATTTCAAGAAAATTTTTTTACTTGAATGATTATATACTCGCAAATTTATCAGATTAGATACTTAATTAATTAGCTGAATATTATCAAAGCCTATATATTTCATACCAAAATTTCTCTCATTTTAGTCTAAAAATCCTTGTAAAACTTGTGAAGCTCATGGAAAAAAAGCGATTTCATAGCATCATGTTTTCATGGACTTTCGAATGCAGCTCCTCTTTGCGAAAAGTTCCGCATTTCTCCCCTGTACACCGACCATTTGTGCCCTTTCGCGTCTCAGTTTTCGTTGCTCAACGCTTTGACTCAGCTGATGTTTCGCAATGGCAATAGATTTTTCTCTCTTGACACAGTCTTTGTTTTTCGCAAAGTCTTTTTTTTTACCTTTTCTCCATTGTGAAACCTTTGCACATTGAGAAGTTTAGCAAGTGGCTTACAATTGATACCTTGGGCAAACTTGGGTCAATTTAAGATTTAAGATTTTCTGTATCTTTTAAAAATACAGTAAATCCTACATCTTGTGCTTAATATATTTATTTATTGTACTTAATATATTTATTATATTAATTAATATTAATATAAAGTAACCATTCGGACGTTAAGACTGAATGCTTTCAAATTCTGATGAAGCACAGGTTTCAGTCTTACCGCTTGAATCCTTTAATTCCGCCACTGAGCTTTACCATATCTTTACTGTACCTTTTACTGCTAGAATTTGAGATAAAATTTTCTTATCAGATGGCCGAAAAAGAAACCCCCGAATCGCAGCAGGAATTTTCGGATGTCGTCTCGGTTTGCGATGATTTTGAGGTGATCGAGCCGGATATTGGTGAGTAAACTAGCTTAAAAACTGGACAATTTACTATGAACTATGAACTATGAAAATTTAAATTTCCAGGCTCCGACCCGGTTCGTCGTTCATTCCACGATGATCTCGAGTCCGAGAAAACGCCGACCGCTTCGCCCACACAAAGCGTCTTCCTCAACACGATGTCGATTGAAGGATCCGAAAAATCGTTTTGTGATCTCGAAGGTGAGTGAATTTCTTGACAAACTGGGCAATTAGTGTCCAATAGGTTTGCTTGTCGGTCAAAGTATAGTGCTGAATAGGTTACGGTAGCAGATACGAAAAATAGGTAGCTACAAATACTGTGACTTAGAGTAATCTTGCTATTGGTCAGAGTAGTGCTGAATACAAAAGGATTCAATAAAAGATACGGAGAATAGGTATACTGTAACAAAAATGTAACTTTATAATAAACAATGACTCTAAAATTTTACTTTTCGATTTTTTTCCAGTCCACTCCAAATGAGCCCACTGATGCGCGCCCAACCACTCCAACTCCATCTGATATCGGAAATCTCGCGGACCCTGAAAGTTGGTGCCTTTTTCAGACAATTTATAATATCACCAGCCTCGCTAGACGGGACACTAACCACCTCGGTCACGTCCACCCTCCCAAAGACCGCAAAAAGTGGGGTGGCTAAGTGGTTCTTCTGATTTTTTAACTGGTTTTTCATGAAAAACTTGTTTTAACCAAAAAGGATGTACCTATTCATTTTTAATGCCATATCGATAAAACAAAGTTTGTCGAAATCGGTTCACGGAGAGCCGAGATCTAGAGCGTGACGGACAGACAGACGGACGGACACTTCTCTTTTATATATAGTAGATTGCGAAATAGTAAAGCGTTAAACAGTCTCAAAAATCGATAACCACCGTAGCCTTGTCTTATGCAACCTTAAATTCAAAGCCTGTTTTATCTGCTTTTTCCCTATTTCGAACACGTTTTCGGTTCAAATCGTACCTTTTTTCAGCCCCAATTATGTCAGAATCGATGTCGGATTTCTCGATGCCAACTTCGAAAACCGTTTTGGACGAGCTGCGCAATTTGGGGAAAATGTTCGAATCGCATATGATTGGGGTAAAATATCTAAAAATAAACTTTATAGCAAAATAATTAAGCTAAAAAGACTGAATATCTGTTTCAATTGAAATTTGGACATTTAAATTTAACTTGAGAGTGCTCCTCAAAAGTTCCCGCTTTTTAAAAAGTGGATAATTTGGAAAACAACCGTAATCCTTTTTTCAGCTTGTCTTCTGTTTACTTATTTATAATTCCATTTGATGAGGGATAAAACCGTGTATGAATTGGAATCAAAATTAGGAATAGACTAATAGGAAGAGTGCGGTAGCTTTTCAAATCAAAATCTTTTAGAAAACGATTTACTCATTCCAATTCAAATATCTAAATACTTTTTAATTTCGGCATACTGTAACAAGACAGACTATAGAGATATTACGGTAGTTGTAAGCTTAAAAATTTTAGTCTACGATGGCCGTCACTGGTGGAGAGGTGGCCATGTTGAAGGAGGAGAATGAAGAGCTCAAAGTTCAGGTGAAACAGGGAAATTTTTTCGATTTTAAATCCCAATTTTCAGCTGAGCACCGAAAAAAAAGATTAACAAGCGCTTGATGGAAACGGTCGATGAAAAACCGAAGAGGTTGATAATGATATTGATATTAAAATTAGAGCTGATGATGCATCTTGCGATTCTAAACTCCCTTGGTAGCCTTATTCTTAGAATAACTGTACGCAAATGTCCGTCTAATTAGCCCGTCTAATTAGTCCATCTAATTAGCCCGTCTAATTAGTCCGTTCAAATGTGATATTTAATTCAAAATTAGTTGTAAGCCAGATAGGAGTTAGATATCGAATATAATCCTTATTTTAGATCCATCGCATTCGAAAAGCGGTCACCAAGCAGCTGACCGAAGAATCAGAGGGCAAAATGGAGGAAATGCTGATGAAGGTGAGTGCCGCGTGAACAATTAATTTTCTAAAATGTGTCATCTTTTGCAAACTACCGTAACCCTACCAATCAACAGCTTAGTTTTTTAGCTAGAAGCCGCTCTCCGTCAAAACGCCATCCTCCAAGAAAAACAAGAAAATCTGAAGGTCGAGGTGAGTCTAACGAGCGTAAAACATTCTGAAATGCTAATTTAGCTCCAAGCCAGCACCATCGAGAAAATGCAGTTGATGGAACAAAATGAATCGCTGAAGAAAGACGTCAACAATGCTCAAAAAAAGCCAACAGAATGATCAGGGTGTGATTCAAAAAACATCTAGAGGATATGATTACGGCGTTGAAGTAAGTAAAGAAACAAAAAATTCAGACTATATTTCAAGAACCAGCCACTTGCGTAAGTACCCTTGAATTGTGAAACAGGGAGTTGGTACAGTGCCCAGGGTACTGCAAAGGGTTCGCACCTGGCACAGAATCCTTCAAGGGTACTGTACCAGTTGCGTACAGTCAGTACTGTATCGGATACCTGGTAAAAGTACCCTTCAAGAGTACAAGATTGAGCAAAATTCATTCAAAGCCCCATTTCAGACTCGACATCGATCATTTGCACGCAAAATTGGCCGAGAAAGAAGAAATGATCGCCGCAATGAGCCGCGCTGAGCAATTCAGTGGTAAGCAGCGTAGACATAGAGGTTTGTCGTCAATCCCCGTGTTGTCTGTCTATAATTTTGTCAATTTTTCCCCAATCGAATCAAGCTTTCTGTATCAAAAAGTCTCAAAAAATTTGTCTATAGGTCGCGTCGGATCGAGTGGAATCGACGAGGAAGCGCTCGTCACTTGCCTACGCAACAAAACCGATTACATCCAGGCGTTGGAAATTGAGGTTACTTTAATAGCTAGATATATGCAAATAGATAGGTATAAAATTTTCTTTTTTAGATCAAGAAGCTCCGCGAACAGATCACAAAGATTCAACTGGACGCCGAGGATAAAGCTGTCATCATTACGGTGAGTTTAAATGGTTAAAAAGTGGATAAGATTAGATTATTAGATAATAGATAATAAATAATAGATATAGATATAGATATAGATATAGATATGTCTCAAATGATATAGATATGTCCTTTGTCATTAACAATCCAGCTTTAAGCTCAAATACCTTCGTGTACGGCTGTTCAATTGAAATAGTTTTTATACCAATCGACAGAGAAAGACTTGACGCATCTAGTGATACCAATAATTTATAAATTGGACAACCCAACACCAAGATATTTGAGTTTAAAGTTAGATTACCAATGGGACAAAGGGGTGGGGCAAAGATATCTATATCTATATCTATATCTATACCTATTATTAGATAATAGATCTATCTAATTATCTAAAACCAATAAATTACAGGTTCTTCAAGAGGAGAACAATGAGGGCACTCGGATGATCGCTGAACTGGAGCAGAAGGAGAGGGTAAGTGGGGGAACAAATGTGACTGGTTACTGTAAGAAGATAGTTTTCAGATCTAAATTTGATCCTAGTCTAATTTAGATTACTTTACCGTTGACTAACTCTTTTGTTTTTCTTTTCTAGAACACCCTGGATTACGCAATCAGAAGCATTCCCAACTTCGTTCAGTCTTTTTTCGAGTGTAGGCCTTTTTGATTTTCAGCATTGTTTTTAGCTTTATGCAGGGTGCAGGGTTACTGTAGCGTAATTTTACTGTAAAGATATAATAAAAGTACTGTAGCGGCTACAAATCGATCCTAAAACGAATTCTAGAGTTTTCAATTTGAATAACGTATTCTGAGCCTAAAAATTTAGCAATCAATTGCAATCCTCAAATCCGATTCTCAAAGAAATCCGATTACAGTATACCTTTCCGGGACTGATACTTAAAAAAACTTAGCACAATCTTACTGTATTCAAATATCTAGATTACTATGAAATTTTTTCAGAACCGTCGTCTTTTGGAGGAGGCGCGTGACCGTAATCTAGTCACCGGTCTTGCTGATTTCACCAACTGAATATCTTTTCTCCTATAGCTATTCATTTACTTACCACCCAAGCAGCTCCTCAAATATTTGTTCTAATGTTCTAACACTTTTTGGTATTTGTAACTTTACATTTAAATGCAAAAATGACCACCAAAAGTTACAGTAAAGTTACAGTCTTTGATTATGTTTTCTAAGCCATGTACATCTTTCCTGTATCCTCTTCGCCTTCACACTCCAAATTAGTCTCAATTTCCACTGGTACTCTTTCCTAAAATGCACATAAATGCAAATTTCTGTTCTTTTCCATCAATTAGCTTCTCATACTCTAATCTCTCTTTCATTGTTGTTGAATAAAATATTTAAAAATAAAAGAAACTATTAAAGCACGGTGTGATTCAAGGCTTCATATCTTAATCCGATAATACCGTAGTAAGATGAAAAGGTTCTAAAATAGAGTGAGTTCTTTGCTGTTTCGAAAAAGTGACTAATTTAGAAAACTATTGTAACCTTTTCTTCAGGCAAAGAAAAAGTTACGGTAGTGATTATTCTGCTTAATTTTAATCCAGCTGAATATCTTTATAAAGATTGAGATATAAAAGGAAACTTTAATTGAGAAAACTACCGTAATCTCATTCAATGATTTCTTGATTCATTGATTCATTGATTCATTGATTCATTGATTCACTGATTCATTGATTCCTTGATTCCTTGATTCCTTGATTCATTGATTCATTGATTCACTGATTCACTGATTCATTGATTCCTTGATTCCTTGATTCCTTGATTCATTGATTCATTGATTCACTGATTCATTGATTCCTTGATTCCTTGATTCCTTGATTCATTGATTCATTGATTCACTGATTCACTGATTCATTGATTCCTTGATTCCTTGATTCCTTGATTCATTGATTCATTGATTCACTGATTCACTGATTCATTGATTCCTTGATTCCTTGATTCCTTGATTCATTGATTCATTGATTCCTTGATTCATTGATTCATTGATTCACTGATTCACTGATTCATTGATTCCTTGATTCCTTGATTCATTGATTCCTTGATTCATTGATTCATTGATTCCTTGATTCCTTGATTCCTTGATTCCTTGATTCATTGATTTCTTGATTTCTTGATTCATTGATTCATTGATTCATTGATTCAATCTCATTCAATTCGTGAATTTTTCAACTCAAGCCGTTACCCTATCTCCCTAAAAAGTCTTCGATCAATTAATCATTGAATGAGATTACGGTAGTTTTCTCAATTAAAGTTTCGTTTTATGTCTCAATCTTTATAAAGATATTCAGCTGGATTAAAATTAAGCAGAATAATCACTACCGTAACCTTTTCTTTGCCTGAAGTTACAATAGTTTTCCTCTTTTTAAAGATATTTAAAGATTTTAAAGATATTCTCTTTATAAAGATATTCAGTTGGATACTGTAATAAGAGAAAAATGATTCTAAAAGTTGACAGTATCTTCAAAAAAAAATGGTGATAATTCCTTAAAAAATTCGATTTTAGTGTCCCGCAGCCTTTTTTTATTGCACCCAAAGCATCCATGTCTGTGATGAGAAAAAAGGTGAGAAAGCCATCTCTTATCATTTCAAAATTGACCTTTTGTACTTCCCATTAATGAGAAATCGGAATCTTTGCCCAAACACTACAATAAACACAATTTTGTCACCCAAATAGCAGCTATTTATTGCTGGAATTTGAGCAACTTAAAGTCAACCTTTCAACCTCTTTATAGCCTCTAATTTTCTTTTATATATTGATCAAAGAGCTTTTCTTACCTGGAAAATTAAAAACTTCGATGAAAAAAGTTTTACAAAGAATTCTCAATATCAGAGGTTTAGACTAAAGGATTCTCAAGATCAGAGGCTTAGACTAAAGGGAAATTCTTTTTGTCAAACAAAAATGAGGGCCAACAAAAGCTCTACACAATGTAGCTTTACAAAATATTCTTTTATTTACTTTTAAAAATTTTCAAATCAAATTCTCAATAATTTTGATCATTCCAATCCAATCATTTTACTAATTGTAAATGGCTTTCAACTTGTTAAACGCGAATTTTTCAACTCAAACCGAATTATCATATCCTAAAAGGTCCCCATTTTCACTAAATTCTTCATAAATCCCAATAAAACATTCTAAATCTATTTTTCTTTTGTTGTACCCGCTTTGCGGCGTCGTTGCGTTGTGTAATAGATTTCGTTTAATAGATAGTGATATTTAATTCATAGAGGATAGTATAACAGTTAGGTTTATTCAAATAGTAAAACTTGGAATAGTTGCTAGCTGGAATAGAAGCTAGGCAAAAACGTTGTGAGAAATAAAATGATAATTTAACGACTACATAACCCTCCTTTAGATGTCACGACAAAAATACAAAAGGGCACGGTTTAGAAAACACAGTCAAAGAAATTTGTGGGGATAAGCATAGATTTCCAACTAGAGTGTGTTCCTCTCGACTAATGTGTTTTCTAAAATGCACCTATTTGAGAAGTACCGTAATCAAATAGTTAGTTTCATTAGATCAATCCAATTTTTAAATCATTGGCTGAACCTTGTAATTCCTCATCAAATGATACCAAAATTGAGCTGATTGGATGTAAATTGGCAGTTTGACTACGGTGGTTTCTCAAATAGGTTCATTTCAGAAAACACGTGAATCGAAAGGAACACACTCTATTTTCAACAATTTTCTTTTCTTTGCCTTTTCTTTTCCTTTTCCTTTCTTTTCTTTTCTTTTCCTTTCCTTTTTTTTTTTTTTTTTTTCTTTCCTTTCCTTTCTTTTCTTTTTTTTTTTCTTTTCCTTCCTTTCCTTTCCTTTCTTTTCTTTTCTTTTTCCAATCTTATCAATCGGAAGCCAATGGCATTTCTTTTGATAAAGACAAAAACTGCAAGTATAATTTCAAGAACCCAGCGGGAATTCTCAGGTGATCTCTAAATTTTCTATTCGAAAAATCTATTAAACTTTATAAATTTTTACACCTTCTACATCATTTTATCAAAGTTGACCTTGAAAAGAAAATTATAGCAATTTTTCTCGATTCAATCCATTTCCTTGTTATCATACCGAATTTTGATCAAAAAATTTCAATATTTTGCTATTTTCTTTTAGCTTTTCTACAAATCTTACTGAATAAAGTCTACAACTTTTTTTTGATTGACTTCCAACTCAAGTCGCATTCCAATGCTAAAAATTCTCACGAAATATCACCTCCGATTCTCAGCTAAAATTTTTGCTAATCGAGTTCAAAGTTAATAAATTAAAAAAAAGGATATATATATATATCTAGATTTAGCCTATTTTCTTCACACAACAATGCCTTCTGTATCGTATTCATCAAAAGTGGAGAATTGCGATGAATGTATCGATCTTCGATCAGACACCGATCACAAGGCCGACACCCGAAATGAGACAGGTATTGTAATAAAATAAATAGTACAATAGTACAATAGTACATTACTTTTTTTGTAGTACAATAATAGAGATTAGTAGTAATCTTATAATTAGGTAGTCAATTTTTTAAATCTCTATCGGCAATATTTTATCTTTAAAAGTATGCACAAAAATAGAAACCCTTTCTTGAGTATTTTAGCTAAACTTACAAGGAACTAGTACTAGGAAGTACTAGGAAGTAGAGAAAGTACTAGAATTTAGATTAAAACCGGTAAAAGTGATCTGTGCACCGAAATATGAAGCTAGACTTGTAAGAAATTTAGCGTTAGCAATAATAAAGTAAAGAAATGAACGGTAAAGACGGGATTGAATAGGAATTGAACCCTCAACTTTCTGTTTTGCTCTACCATTGGAGGATGCTCTAAAAAAAGAGAAAAAAAAAAGAAGCGGGCATCGATAGCCATTGAGCTATCGATGCCTTCTTTCCCCCAAGAAGAAATAGGAAACACAATAAAGAAGAAAGGAAGAAGAAAGAAAGAAAGAGATTTAAATTTTTTAATAGATTTGAAAAATTTCATTCAAATCTTTTAAGTTTAAATCCAATTAATGCAAAATGATTGAGATTTTTAAAAGAATTTATTTCTAGATCATGGCCAATTCAATCGTCGGTGATGATGTTTATGGAGAAGATCCGACAATCAATGCTTTAGAAGAAAGGTTATCCATTGAAAATAATAGCTAATAAGCTATTATTTAGCTGATAAACTTAAATCTATTTGAATTCTAGATATTCTAGATATGTCTAGATATCCAAATAAATTAACGAAAAATTCTAGATGCGCTAAACTCTTCAAGAAAGAAGCTGGTATTTTTGTCTGTTCGGGCACAATGGGCAATCTTCTTGCCGTTCTTTCGCATTGTCAACGTGGAGAAGAGATTATTGTTGGGAAACAATCGCATATTCATCGATGGGAACAAGGAAATTATGCTCAATTTGGGGGTGAGTTCAGAGATTTTTCATAATAAACACTGAATTTCTTTCACTTTGGCGTACTTTAGCCAATCCAAAAAATTCCAGGAGTCAGTGCAATGACGGTAGAGATTGCGAACGATGGAACGTTGCCGTTGAAAGAGATTGAGGCGTCGATTCGTGGCGGAGATTCGCATCTACCAACGACGAAACTTATCTGCCTTGAGAATACTCACAATTGGGCCGGCGGGAAAGCGTTATCGAGAGAGTACCTCAGGTTGGGAAATCAGTAAAAATGTGAAACATCAATCCGTTTTTCTCAAATCATGGCTTTTTTTTGTCAGTCTAGTTAACCGGATTTAGATTTAATCTAATTTTAAATCGATATTGGGATTTTAGTTTCTTGAAAAATTATCGAATATCACTCCAGGGAAAAATACCAGCATTTGGGGCGACTTTTGGCGAAAATTGCAAAAATTGGAAATTGGGGGTGGGACAAATGCGACCTTTTTTGCGCACCTTTTTTTTTGCTGGAAAGGCCTTAGGAAAAGTCGTAGAGCTTCAAAAATAGTTTCATTTAAGGGAATCGTATGCGTAGATTCCGAATTTCGACAAATCAGACCTCGCTGACACGTCAAATTTGGGCTAAAAGGCAAAAACTACGCAACTTAACGCTTTTCCGCAGTTTTTGCTTTTTAGCCCAAATTTGACGTGTTAGCGAGGTCTGATTTGTCGAAATTCGGAATCTACGCATACGATTCCCTTATATGGAAATATTTTTGAAGCTCTACGACCTTTCCTAAGGCCTTTTCCAGCAAAAAAAAAGGTGCGCAAATGTCCAGGTGCGCAAAAAAAAAGGTCTCATTTGTCCCACCCCCAAAAATTGGCTTGAAAAAAATCACGAGCGCTGATTTATAAACGTTTTCTTTTAAAGATATTCAGCCGTTTAACTGATTTAGTGGCAAATTCCCGTCAAATGTAAAGGTATTCAATTTACTCGACGGGTAAAGAGGATTGACTCGTAGTTACTCGGCGAAAAAGGTCGATTAATCGAGTAAAAATTACTCATGCAAGTTTTACTCGAGTAATTATTTACTCGCGAGGACACTATGATTAAGTAGATAGATAGATAGATAGATAGTAAGTAGATAAGTACGAGGACTAAGTAGATTTATTTTCTTCCGTTTACTAACTAGATTCGACTGCTAGTTGTTTTCTATGCATCAAGCACTTTTTTTTCCAGATCTGTTCGCGAGCTGGCCGATCATCACAAATTGAAGGTTCACTTAGATGGAGCGAGAGTCTACAATGCGGCCGTTGCCACAGGAATGGATGTCTCAGAGATTGCGAGGTAACAAATAACACTAATATTTTCGTTTTATACATTAATATTAGGCTGAGGAAAAAGTAATGTCGGTTTTTGTCACAAAATTGTTTATTGCTAAAAACATAGACAAACGCAGATCAATCAATGAGATATTCTCCATTATTATTGATGACTTGTTCCCATCTTCGTCGCAAGTCCTGATCCAATCCTCAAAAAAATGAGGAGTTTTCGAGCCAAAATAAGTGTCGACTGCTTTTTTGATCTGTGCATGATTCTCAAACTTTTCGCCCATAAGAAAACTCTTCAACGACCAAAACAAAAAATAATCTGATGGGCCCAGGTCCGGACTATAAGGTGCGTGGGGCAGAAGTTTCCAACCAAGCTCGTCGATTTTTTGCAGCGTGAGGTTTTGCATTATCATGCAAAAATGGCACTTTGATGTTTCAACGCTCAATTTCTTTAAAGCCTCGTTAACTCTCATCAACTGTTTTGAATAAAGATCAGTAGTGACAGTTTCACCCGGATTCAACAACTCATAACACTCCAAACCTTTTGGATTCCACCAACAGCAAAGCATAAGTTTCTTTCCATGAATACCGGGCTTTGAAGTTAGTTGTGGGGGTTGACCAAGAGAAAGCCACTGATTTTTGCGCTTCACATTCTCATATTGAATCCATGTTTCGTCAGATGTTAGAATTCTTCCCCAAAAATCATGAGATTTGCCTTTTTGAAGCAGAGTAGAGCTAACGATAACACGAGTTGTTTTATTGCCTTGAGTCAGTTCATGAGGAACCCATATTCCGCAGTGAATTGTTTTTCCTAATTGATGCAAGTGGTTGTCGATTGTTTTTTGGTCCATCCCAAATGTGTCCGCTGACTCACAAGTGGTAATGGTTGGATTGATTTCAATGGCATCAAACAATGTCTCATCTGAAATCTCCTGGGGTCGTCCAGACGGTTCCTCGTCTTGGAGACTTTCATTTCCATCTTTGAACCGCTGGAAACCATCTTTGGCATTGTCTTTCGCTAATGCTGTTTTCCCCAAAAACTTCAATGATTGTCCGATGCGATTCAGCCGCGGATTTCCCTTGTTTAAAATCATACCACAAAGTTCGTCTTGCATTTTGTACCTGAAAATATTGTTAAATTTGTAAAAATTTGTAAAAGTTAAATATAATATGAAAGTAAAGAGTGTCTAGCTGATATCTATTTGAAAAAATCGCATAAGCAAAGAACTGGAGAATTGCCAACAACGGGAATTCAAAACCGACATTACTTTTCCTCAACCTAATATTATCTTTTTATTCAAACTAATTACGTTTAGCTATGTGGACTCAATTCAAATGTGCTTCTCAAAGGGTTTGGGATCTCCAGTCGGTTCGATTGTTGTTGGGGGAGAAGAAATTCATCGATCTCGTTCGACACAAGAGAAAAGTTAGTTTCGTTCAAACTATTAGTGGAATTTGATTTTGAAATAGCTACAATTGTTGGAGATTATCAAAATCGGACTTATAAGCTGTTTATCTAAAGAATCCAGTAACCTTCAACACTTTCCAGGCTGTCGGTGGTGGATGGCGTCAAGCGGGAATCCTGGCCGCAGCCGCCATGTATTCCCTCGATCATGCTATCAAGACGGTGACACGGGATAACAAAAATGCGGTTAGTTTACCATTTTCTTTACAATATCTGGGCCAGGGTTGATCAAAGGCATTTTTCCGGGTCAAGCAAGGTCACGGCTGTACCAAAGGCACATTTTGGCTGGCTTTGCTGCAGGTCAGCCAATGGCCAATCCCTTGCCGGCTTTACTTTACTTCAGGCCTGGATCTGACTTGACCTGACTTGCTTACAAACCTGATGCTGCATCCTAGAATGGTAATAGATTAGTAAAACCATATTAGACTACTCTTTATAGATTCATAAGATTAGTTAGATTAATAGGTTAATAGCTTTATAGATTAATAATTAATAGATAAAGCGCAACTCAACTCTCAATTATCAAATTTCAGGCTATTCTGGCAAAAGGTTTCAACGATCGAACGCCGAATCATCTGAAAGAAGCCCTGCACGCAAATGAAGAAGGATTGACAAATATTGTGGTGGTTCGTTGCGCGAATGGGGTCACACCGAGTCAGGTGAGGAAACAGGATGCAAGTGATACTTATAAACCGGAGTGTTAACGGTGAACGGTAGCATTTACTGCCGCTAGTACTCCTTAATTATTGAGATCCTATAGTTAGTAGTAAAGCGTTGGCTTCGGTGTATTTTTTTTACGACTTTCTCCTTCCAGATGGTTTCCTTTTTCCAAGAGCGCAGAGTGTTGTTCATGGTTTTCGACGATCATCGAGTGAGACTTGTGACCAATTGGGGATTGACTGATGAGCATATTCCGATTATTTTCGAGGTAAACTCTTAAACTAAAAGCACTACTGGTAACTTTGTTATGAAATTTGTTATAAGAGTTTTACTGCACAACGCTATCATGCGATCCTTAGCATTGCTAAATTTAAAAGTTCTATTCTTTTTGAAAGTTTTGAATCACCTAGCAATTTTAAACCCTAAATTAAAGAACTTTAGAGTTTAAAAGTATTGTATTTGTGGTTAGAATTGTTGGTATTTGTTACTATTTTCGACCACACTTTGTATTTTGTCACAAAAGTCTTCATTTGTGGCTGTAAAGTGTAAAAATATGAAAATTTTATGGCAAAATGCAAAATGTTGTCGAAAATTAAAAGACAATTTGATACTTGTTACTTAGTTTGACTTGTCAGGGACATGTTTTCACCATTTTTCCTTCAAATGATCCATTTTCAGGTCTACGAGGAGTTCATCAAAACGTTGCACTGAAATCTCACAGCAACGGAAAATTTCTAAATGCTCAATAAATATTTATGAAATTTCCAGAATTACACAATTTCTCATTGGTCAAAAAACCATTTTCACTTGCTGAATTGCTGAAATAGAAGCCTTGAAAAGATAAAAATGTCAAATACAAAATTCTGAACATTTTTAGACATTAGACTTGTACATTGTTTGGAATACTGGATTTTAAAAACCTAATTTAAAATTTAGTTTTCATTTCGCATGTCCTGGTATGAAGTGGAGACGGAGCGGGTCGGTTTTTGGGAACACGATTACGCGATTCCCACGTATTCGGTGTAAGTTTCACTTGTTTAGTAGCTAAATTTGGTTACAATTACAAGTATATTGTAAATTTAGATAGTTTAATTGAATAGATTTTTTAAAAAAACATCCCTAAGCCAGTTCATTTTAAACTCTGAACCCTTCAGGGCGAACCCAAAAGAATCGAAACGATCTTTTCAGAGAAAAAAATTACTAATTTTAGCAATAAACTTGGATTAGGCTTATATTTTTAAAATATTCTATTAGATTTTCAAGTTTTTAACGATTTAGCATAGTTGGGTTGATCGTGCTGTGCTGTGTACCATCCTCAAGGATGGTACACAGCACAAGTTCGAAGTTTTCTAGAGATCCCCGCATTGTGCAAGTGTACGTCGTCTACGAGAATCGCGCTCAAACGTTTGACAAACGGGAGCAAGCTTTTGGGAATGAAGAGGTTTTTTTAAAAATACAGTAGCTTGATATTTTTCTTAGGTAATCTACGAAGAGATCTACCCGTCAACGAGCACGGCTTTCGATCAAGAAGTGGCGCTGGAGCTGGATGTTTGTGATTATGAAGAGGTGGGGATTAAAATGCGAAATAAGAGTTATCTATAGTATAAAAGTAAAAATAACCATAAATAAAATATTCTATGTATATGTAAAGCTCAAATGATGACTCATTTTTGTAACTTTATCTATAGTATACTTTTATTCAAAACCTAAAGCAAAATCGCGACTCTAGAAGTTTTTGCGGTCAAAATTTCAGCTCAAGTGAACAGTAGACTTAAAACTATTATACATTTACGTTCTTCTATTATACTTTTTATTACATTGCAATTTTTAGGAAGCCTGCACATCGGAATATCGCTGGTACAATGAACGTTACGAGGAAACGGTGAAAGTCGACGACGAGGATTACCCGCTCGATTCACCGCCAATTTTGGAACCAGTACGGATTTTGAGAAGAACTTTAGCATCAAGTCTGCTATCTAAACTGGAAATGTACTAGATTTTAAATGAATATTTTTTAGCAAGTGTCACAAATCGTTCGGAACACAGAGCTTTGTCGCTTATGCGCACAGAATATACCGACTGGATGCCGGAGAATGCATATAAGAAGGTGGGGTTTTTTTTTAAAAGTCACCCATTTTCGAAAACTACCCTAATCAAATCACCAGTTTACATCTAATCAACCCAATTTTTGTATCATTCGATGAGGAATCACAAGGCTCACTCGATGATAGAAAAATTAGAGCTGATCGAACTGGTGATGTGATTACGATTTCGAAAAAAGGTGCCTTTTTCATGCATTTATTTCTATATTCTAGATTCCATTTACAACGAAAACTCTTCCGTTGCCCTCATTGTAAATTCTCTTCGAACTACAGCTACGGAAATGTAAGAGCTCATATGTGGCAAATGCATTATAGCCGGGTGAGTGTGGAAAAATGATCAACTGAAGCGTTTTCCAAAATGTGTTCACTTTCAAAAAGCTCTCACTTTCAAAAAGCTACCTCACTTTCAAAAAAGCTAAAAAAGCTCACTTTCAAGATTGCGATCTTGCTTACAGTGTTTTGATATATCTTAATCTTTACCTTGACTGAAATTGTGCTTTTTTGACGGAAATCATTTAGCTGAAGCCGATCACAGTGAAGAACAGTTTAAACGACGTGATGATGGATTACGCTTACATGTGAGTATCATATTGTAGTTCTTTATTATATTGTAGTTCTTCTGGCGCACTCAATTATTCAAATCTTGTGACAAAATGAAGTTGAGCGTGCCAGAAAGGGTGTGTTTCTAGAAAAGTACATAAAAATGTTGTTTAAACCCCATGATTCTAGGTGTTTCGGTGATCAACGTCTTTTGGCTAGATATGAGAAAGAGGTGGTCGATACAGTGATGGATTTGATTGATTGGGCGGCTGATGGGGTAAAGCCAGAGGATTTGATCCCTGTCGCACAGCAAACGAGACAAGGTTAGCCAAAAATTAGGACAAGATCTGGCCTATATAATCCTAGAATTTAGGATCAAGTCAAAATGCGGTTTGGGCAGAAATTGGCGACGATGGACTCCCGTTTGACATCATTGATCCAGGAGAGGAACAAGAAATGGGAAACTCGAGTGAAAAGGTGACACAATGATCTTGCTATTGTTTCAAAATGATTCTATTGTATGGGAAAAATGAAAGCTATTTGAATTAGAGCTCAAATCTTTAGCATACTTTTTTTCTTAGAGCACTCAGCGAATCGAATCGCTTCAAATCACGCAAGAGCCGGCTGCGAAACGATCGAAAAGGCCGACGTCTACGTGAGTGAAAAAAACTGGGCTTATCAATTAAAGTGTCTAAATTAAAAGATATTCAGTCCAAAGTAGGTTTTGGATATTAGAAAATTAAATCTTACAATTGGAAACCGAACATACTTTGTAACATTATTTAGCATTATTATCAAATCCATCATTCTAGTTGTCTCCTTTGTGGGCTTCGTGAGATCACTCATCGAGAACGTCACGTTCTCCAGCATCATTTCAAGCGACTCGTTTATCTGTGCCCACATTGCTCTTTTGGGAGCACCTATGCGCCGAATGTAATCAAAGATCATATGCGAGTGAGTACAACAAACGACTTGACATTTTCAACAACTAAAACAAGCGAACTGTACTGTACTCTGGAGTCTTATTTAATAGTCCATTTAACTATTACTGCATAAGTTATTACTACAGTATACAGTTACATTACATCTACTGAATCTACTGGATACTGTACTATGTATAATAGGTATGAGCATACTGTACTATAATAGGTATGACAAAACTTGACGTAGTTCTGTTGAGCTCCTCTGGCTCGAATTGCATATAATTTCCGCTGAATATAATTTACTATTTATCTAAACTGGGTTAGAAAATGAATCACAAAGCAACAAATAAAATAAGATTTTTGAAATCGATATAACTTTGATTGCCACAACTTTAGTACTTTATCGAAATATTCGGCACAGTATAGTATTATACTGTACTGGGATACTGTAGCTGTGTAAACTCTAACTTTTATTATGCTAATTTTAGACAAAGCATATAGCTCTTGGCGGAAATCCAGTGGACATTCGGGGTCAAGTGACGAAAGCGATCGATTCGATCTACGAGAAATGCTTTGGACCGATCTCATACATTGATTCCCAATAATTGACAATAATTTGCATAAAATCAATAAATTATTTATTAAATTATACACTAAACTAATCGAATGAGTAGAAAAATGAATGAGACCAATGAGAAGTGGACGAGTGATCGAGAGGATTCCAGTTTATTCAAAAGAACTAAAAATTTGTGTTGTTTGGTCGGGATTCAACGTGAACAATTTGAGAAAAGCTACAGAAATATCTTTCTATTATCTTTTGGAAAACGCAGAGCCACTTTTAGCCTTAACATTTGTTTTTTTTTTGAAATTGTAGATAAAGTTACCTGAAGGCAGCCGAAGAGAGTTATCGGGAAGCTCCCGAACGTCCGGTGGCATTAAATGCATTTGTCCAGACTGAAATTTACATTTATCTACCAAATATTACTACTAATTTGAGCATTAGACTTAATCTTGTACTTTGTACTCTAAAATAGAATTGCGCCCCTTTTGGTGCACTGAATCAGAAATTGAAGACTAGTGCACGAGAAGGGAGATGTTTACATTGTTGAGTACAAAGTACATTCTAAAAAGCAAGCCCAAAGTAACGACTACGGTAGTGGTAAGGTAACGGCTACGGTAGTGGTAAGGTAACCTTTACGGTAGCGGTAAGGTAACGACTACGGTAGCGGTACGGCAACGACTACGATAGCGGTAAGGTAACGACTACCGTAGCAATACGGCAACGACTACGACTACTGTAGGTTGTTCGTTGTTCTTTGGACTGCACTCCTTAAACCAACCATCACATTTTGTATCCTATTCACTCGTTCATCTTCAATCGGCTCCTCCTCAACTTCTCGACTTTCAAAGGGTTCCAAAGCTTTCCTATGGAAAACGTTTTTCTTCCACGACCCAACACCATTCTCTTCTCTCCAGTGCAATCCGCTGTGATGTCGGTGGCGATTGTGGAGACGATCCTGAAACTTTTAGTACTTATACAGGGTATTATATATTTATGTCGACTATCTCTTTGATAGATTAACTCCAAGTTCAACCCTAATCGTTTTAAGTGTGATAATAAATTTTAAAGCCCGTAATCTTAACTAAATCTCTCTCTTAAAAGTTGCCCAATTGAAGTTATACAACTCATTTTACTATTTGGATACTATTTGATCCCTCTCTGCTGCCATTTTTGGCGATTTTCATTATAAATCTTACTTTAAAATGCTTTAAAGCTCAGGATTTTTGGATTAAACTCACTTTTCTTTGCACTTCGACCGAAATTCTCAAATTTCTTTCATGACAAAGCCCGAAGATCTCGTTGTCAAGCCCGTCGAATTCACCCGTTGAAGTGGCTGACGATAGATTTGAGTTTATTTTAGTTTCAGAACAAGTTGCATAGCTGCTTTTCACTATAGTGAGACAGTAGACAGTTTATTTTTGTTTCAGAACAAATTGCATAGCTTTCTTTTCTTCAACTTACTCAAAAAGTACAGCGTCGAGTCTCGTTCCTCTTCTTCGAAATCCACTTTTACCGTTTTTGTCGAGTGAATTTTGAGATGAGAAAAATGAGCGAATGAGGATGAACAATTCACAATCAATTCCGATTCATCACCAATGAAACAACTCTCAAAACATGGCTTCTTTACCTGAAAAACTGTTAAATACAGAAACTGTACGGAAAAAAAGGTGTTCTTTCTATTGTACTTTGTACTTTCTGGTACAAAGTACAATAGAAAGCTTTCATTTTCATCAAAATCGTTGTTGCAATGAAGAAAAGAATGCAACAAGAATGGTGTTTTTAGTAAAAAGTTCAAAAAATCAGTTTAGCAGTGCAGAAAAATTGGAGTGTAATGTAAAAGTCTAATCTTTTGTCATAATTTCGATACTTTTCGATACGATACTGTAGCGAGACAGTAGACTGTTTTATTTTGTTGTTAATCGAATCTTTTTACCAACTTTGTATATCAATAACACTTCCGGTGCCTGGGGACAGTGAAAGCGGAGAGAATCTCGAGAGAGAACCCTCAGCCGCCAATAAGGATCCACTTCAAAACTAAAATCGTTTTTGTTTTTTGTTTTTTCAAACTATTCACAATTAAACCTTGGATTATTTGAATTCCAATGAATATCGTGAATCCGAGATTTCAGCACTTTTTCTAGTACTGCACTAAGGCTGCAGTGGAAAACCAATGAGAATACGAGCAATGAAATTTGCATACAGTTTTCGAATAGAAAATTGGTAAATCTGAAAGTTAAGTTTTAGAGCTTACCGTATTTCATCGAATAGAAGACCGGGTAAAGAGTATCATCGCGTACTCCTGCGTGGCAGTCCTTTTTAGCAGCCCGTATCTGCGTAGCAGCCCTTTTTAAAATTTCTTTTCTGCATAAAAGCTTTCAATGAAGTGCTATAGAGCTGGAAAATGGCTCAAAAATACGACATGAGCTAACAGATTTTTGAGTCATTTTCCAGCTCTATAGCACTTGATTGAAAGCTTTTATGCAGAAAAGAAATTTTAAAAAGGGCTGCTACGCAGGAGTACGCGATGATACCCTTTACCCGGTCTTCTATTCGAAGAAATACGGTAAGCTCTAAAATATTAAAAAATATAGATTTCAATTCCAAAAATAGTTATAGAAATTTGGATTTGATCATTTTTTTTTGCTTTTTCTCTTTAGCCACTTCTTTTTGAGTGCTAATAAGCCCCGTATTCCCTTGAGATTTCAATTATTTTCAAAAAAGAAAAAAAGAAAATAGTGAATATTGAAATATTAATCATAAAAAAAATATTTCAATATTGAAATTTTGTTGTAAATCAATAAGCAGATAACTTAAACTTTAGTTTTTTGCTTTTAATTCGAGAAAAATTCAATCCAATTCAAATCCGGGAGTGGGACAAATGCGACCTTTTTTTTGCGCACCCGGACATTTGCGCACCTTTTTTTCCGCACCTTGCCCATTAGCGCACCTTTTTTCGCGTTTTAAAATGTTTAAAAAGCTCTAAAAGCTAATATTAACCAATTTCTATTCCAAATGTTGTTTTTCTAGGTAATTTGAGGGTGTTGAATTCAAATTTTGACATAATTTGAGTGTGGAACCAATTTGAAAGACAAAACGGCTAGATCAAATTACAGAAAATTGTCGATTTTTCTCTTTGTATAACTCCGTCCGTTTGTTTCCACAAGCTCTGATATGTCAAAATTTCGATTCTACGCCCTAAAATTACCTAGAAAAACAACTTTTAGAATAGAAATTGGTTAATATTAGCTTTTTAGAGCTTTTTTAAAACGCGAAAAAGGTGCGCTAATGGGCAAGGTGCGCAAATGTCCGGGTGCGCAAAAAAAGGTCGCATTTGTCCCACTCCCTTCAAATCCAGATCAAAACAAGATCAAATTTTGATTCAATTAGAATCAAAAAAAAATTCTAAACATGCATTTTCCCACACCAAAATCCAGTTTTAGAGAAATTTCACAATTTACAACTTTTCAGTTGTAAAAATTTTTTAGAATAAACTTTTTGGAGTGAAAAAGTGACTGAAATGACTGAAAAAATGACTCTAACCAATAAAAGATGGAGCCCAATCCTCTGTGAGTGAGAAAATGAACGCTTTTGCAAATAGAATTTTGTTTTATTATGAAAAAAATTTAGTCACCCGACACAATGAAGAATTTTGCCATAATAGAATTCTTTTGCTTGGCGGATTACGTTAAAAATCGCCGGCTTATCAGTTGTTCCGACGAGACACTCCCTTTACCCTCAAATTGTCAGACGTCATTTTTGGGGAAACGTTTATTTAGATGAGAATTCGAAAACAAAAACATAAACTAACACATTCACAGTGAGACGACTCCACTGGTCGACCGTACTAATGAATTACCAGTAAAAATCTTCACCAAATTATCGGCTATCGGACGTTTGAGCGCCCGCCCCTTTTGCCATTGGCAATCTAACTTTGAGCTTAAATATCTTGGTGTTGGGCTGTTCAATTGAAAGATTCTTGGTATCATTGGATGCGCCAAGTCTTTCTCTGTCGATTGGTACAAAAACTATGAACAGCCCAACACCAAGATATTAAAGTTGGATTGACAATGGCAAAGGGGGCGGGGCGCGTATCAAATTATCAGTTAAACTTTTATAATAAGAAAGATTAGAGAAAGAAAGACAAAAATGCTAAAAACAATGACTTTATTGAGAAAAACTATGAAAAAGCGCTAAACTGTGGCAAGTCTTTGTGCTTTTTTTGGGTAATAGCTACTTTTAGACCGGCTCTATGTGTAAAAAATAAAACAAGAGCAAAAGCATAGAAGCAGGAAAAATTATGACAGTCATGCGAAAAATTCGGCGCAGAAATGGGCAGCGCTGATTTGGGTACCCCCCCCCCCCCTTAATCTGATCATTAAATGATCAGATTAAGCGCTCAGAAATTCTTCAAATATCTCCAATCTCTTCCCAAACATCTTTTCCGAACCACTTCACACTAATCCTTGAAAAGCTCCACAATTGAAAAGTTGAGGATTCCAATGAATACGCTAAACTGATTCCCAGTGATCCGTAAGAGCTTTTGTTTTTTTTCTGCATCAGTTCCAAATTTGGAATTTGAAAAATTTCTTTGCTATCAAAGGCGGTGATAAAAATTCTCGACTCGTAAAAGTGTTTTCCGGAATTTCAGTGACAATTGCGAAAAAATGCAGAGCGGTTTTTAATTGGTGATTCAGCAAAAATATGATGGGAATTGGAGAATTTACGATTTTTTTTTACAATCGGTGGTACATTTGCAAATTTGCATAGTTTAAATACGAATTGTCACCACAACACTATTACATCGATTTTTATGAAATTTTTATGCTGTTTGAGTTATGTGGGCGAGGTTTTTTGAACTTGTTAAGATCCGTTAGGCTCGGTCCTTATAAAAGGGATCAAAAACAGAGCTTCTCCCCCACTTTCGCACATCGCAAAGTGGAAAGATGGCCAACCCTCTCGTAGCGCTGCAATACATGACGCTGTTGGAGCTTAGTGAAAAGCTACTCCAGTCAATGGCTTCAGGATATTGGACTTCTTCATCGCAAAAGAACGTGTCCAAACTGTTGAAACGACGACATGAAGCGTTACGATCGTGGGCATCAAGGCGCAACTCCTCGTCGGGAATACAATCGGCAACGATGCAAGGACCGACCTAATCGCATCGGGTCTACGTAGGTACGTTCTTCGAGAATACCCATGTTACCCTCAGGAAAGCAATGCATCTTGCCTACTACCACTCTCGCCTCAGCGCTTCTGTTAACGTCATGACCAGAGAAACGAAAACCGACAGAAACACCGTCATGCTGTGGTGCCAATGGTTTCGTGACATCTTCGCAAAGTACTTTGCTGCTAACCCACGAACAATCGGTGGTCCTGGTGTTCACGTGGAGATCGATGAAACGATCATCAGCAAGCGCAAATACAACCATGGTCGCCTCCCGTAAATACAGTTTGGTGACGACCCATGGTTCCACTTCTGGTCGCAAGTGCAACAACATTACCCGTGCCAGCGAGGTAAAATAACCCTCAACCCAACGGCCTTCTTTAGGGGTCACAAACATAAAAACAAAATATTAAAACTCAAAACCAGAAGAAACAATAGATGTAGTTTTTCGGAATCTACGCAGAAAATTACCTCAGAAAAAGTGGTTTTCAAAAAAATTGTGCCAACCTCAACTAGCCTAGTACCCAATCGGTCACTAACAACACAAGCTCTATCATACAGGCCTGGGTTTCTTTCAGACTACGAAATCTATAGTTCAGAACGATTTACTAACGATATTACGATATTTAAGTTGATTGGAAGATTGAGAACCCATTGGTGATTTCTTTTGCGACACTTTACATCTTACTGTAGTTAATGGGTATTTAGCCAAGACAAAAAGTTTCTTCCACACAAAAATCATTGACGCGAGTTAGGGATTGAGGTGCCGTTCTTGTTTTTGCCACTTTTTCTCATTGAACACAATCAAGGTATTTTCTTTTAGTGATGATGAAATCGGACGGTATGTTGGCCTTGCTGCCGCCATTCTTCGATTTTGTTGACATTTTCAATTGTGTGATCACGAATGCAATTCTCGCCTTCTTCATGTGTTTGGCAATGATCTTCCAAAACTTCGGTCACCCAATGAAGTGTATTGTGGCGGGGAAGCCTGGTAAATTGTTACATTAATGACTTTTTAATCTTTTAACTTTAGCTATCTGGCAAGGATTCTACAATGAGTATTGCTTTACCCAAGGAAGATTTCAAATTGTCGATGATGCATCAAACAGCCCGAATGCATTCGTCCCCGTTGGATTTGCAGACTTTTTCGTCCGAAACTTTCAAGTAAAGATTTATTTTGATGTTTGTTAATCATCATTTTGTTTAGTGGATGCCTTACTTGTTTATTCTTCAACTGGTTCTCTTCGCAATTCCAAAATGTGCATGGACAGCTTTTGCTTTATCATTCAAAAATGGTAACAAATGTGTGTTCTTCTAGTTTATTAAAAGCGTTGTTTAAGTTAATCAAACCGTCTCGGCGATTTCACAGGCTCGTTGCATAAAATCATTGAAAGGTGAAGAAAGAATGAAAGAAGTTGAAGCAATTTGCGAGTTTTTGCTGCGCAGTCTTGGATCTCCACAAGAAAGGTGGTTTTGGTTGATGGTTTATTGAATCGCAATTTGTTATTTTTAGACGACGCTGCTTACAAGGTCAACTAGCGGTACTTCTGTATGTCGTTCAAAAATGGCTCCAAGTGTTGAACCTGATTGCTCAATTTGGAATCTGCATGTTTCTGGTTGATAGCACTTCAATCTTCTGGGGATTTGAGGTAAAAATATCGTTAAATTTAAGTTTATTTCTTTCTTTATTTAGTTGATGAAGGGAAGTCTTTATTCGCCCATCCAAAGAATCGATGAGGAAATTTCCAAAGAAAGCAATTTGTTATGTGCCTGACGATTATGGATACGAGGTTTTTAGAACTCGGTTATCTTTGATCAAAGATCATTTAGAAAGGATCGCTGAACATCACGACTCCAAATCAAATGCTTCAAGCAAACTGCTTTATCTCCATCAACAGCGTTTATGAGCAACTCTACGTTTTCCTGTTCTTCTGGCTCAGTTTCCTCTTCATCATCACGTTTCTGATGGCCATTCATTACACGTTGTTTCTACTGTTACCACGATGGAGGATTTATTGTGCTTCAAAATATTTGCCTGTGAGTTTTAGAAATATGATTTATAAAACAAAATTAAAAGTATGAATTAGACTCCAAAGTCGTTGGCGATGGGTTCAGCTGTTGGACAAGCAAGCCCGGCACATATCTCATTGCCGTCAAATCATCTTTCGGAATATTTCATAAACTCGGTTCTAATGGTTGGTTTTTGTTAAATAACAAAAAAAAGCAAAGCCTCTAGGCCGATGGTTGCATGGCACTGTGGTTTATAAAGGAGATGGCTGGCAATCAAGTATCAGCTGAAATGGCGCAATGCATTTGGAACTTTTCAGTGAGTCGGACAGTGTAAGGCTTTCTTTCGTATTTTAAGGTGTATTCATAAAACGTGATTCAATTAAAAATTTCAAATGTCGCGTTTTAGAGAATCACAGCCCATTCTTCCAACTCGAGGCACCCTCAACTATCTCGGCAATCACAGTAGCAATGTGTTGTCCCCTTCAAAAAGTCGGCCTTTATCCGGGGAAAAATTAGTCAGCTTGATTTTTATTTTTTGTAAATTCGATTTTAGTCACCTTCAAATCTTTTGACCACACGCTCAACTTCACTCATCCGCCCAATGGTCCGCAAGCCATCAACAGAACAAGAACAACCTTCAAGAATACCAACGACGACTTCCAAATCTTCATTTCAACGGACTCCATCTTCTACAAGTTCTGGAATTGGCGATCGTTTATCAAAGGAACAATCTTCCTACAAAAGCCCTCGCAAGTAAAGTAAATGGAGTCGATTGGCCGCTATTATTGTTTTTATTGTTATTTGTTTAATGTTTTCACTTTTGTATGTTATAGTTTTGCCAATGTTTTCAGTAGTGTCTTTGATTTGCCCCCTTTTGTTGTCCTTTTTGTTTCGGTGCTTTGTGCCTTTAATGAAAAGGCTTTTGTTGTCTATCCTATTTATTGTTTCGATTGTATTTGTATAGAATTTCTAAAATAGCTTTAGTTGTTTGTTTAATAAATGTGTGTCGAAAATTTGTTTATGAAAGGACGGTAGTAACTGTTGAATCGTTAATATCTAAATCATTTTATGATGGCGGTAGAAAAGAGTAATAATGCGAAGCCGACGACTGTCTTCCTGTGATTCTATCATGCACTGAAAATATACCGTATCCGTTAAATTTTGTCGGGCATTACCGTAACTCGCAATCGCAAAAGTGCCGTCGGAAAGTTCGCATTTCCACTTTTCTTTACAAGATTTGATTTAAAGTTAAAAGTCGTATCTAGATTTTAGATATTTATAGAAAGAATATTTAGAAATTGTATTTATCATATATTTAGAAAGAAGTCGATTTCGCAATGCTTCTCTACGATAGGATTGCCAACACCGCCAATTTTGCAAAGGGCCGCACCGAAAGCCTCTACAACTATGGTTTGTGTTTAGTGAATAAATTGTTAATGTTTTGTTTCAGGTATTGATTCTGCCAATACGGTTATCGGTTCTGGTCGTGATGTTGTGGCTAAATGGGTGCGCATCGTGGTGGGCACAGGTGTCATTTTTGGATTGTTGGCTCTGGCAGTAATCACCTCGATCATCTCTTTCCTTTGCGACTACGTCTTTACTCACTGGGTTGATTTGGACGATGTGACGGGACTTATTAAGGTATAGGTAGCAATTTGTATTTCAATTTTGAAACTCCTTAGATACCACTTTTCTTCTACAAGTTGTCAACGACCATTGTCGCTAGAGTCATGAAGATTGAATGGAACATGGGAGCCACCATTGAACAAACAAGCTCGTACGTCCGCACGGCCGTTGGCGACGCAGTCACATCAGTGAAGCAACTTGATTTTAAAAAGTGGTTTTTTTCTATATACTTATTTCGCCTATTCATTGGTTTAGGATGAACTTGGAAGAAGTCACGATGAGCGGCATTGATACGTCTAATCAACATCTAAATGATCAACTCACTGTATTGAAGGACAAAGGCACCGTCGTACTCACTGGCTCAAACTTGAACGGTTTCGTCACCTACATTGCGGAGATCAAGGATAGATTTGACGAGACCGAGAATCTTTTTGACGTCCAAGGAGAAGTAAATTTACTTTGTTTTGGCAAACATTTTTATTTGATTTAGGTAATCGATGGTTTCTACGAGGGACTTGATCAAGTGAAAGCCCAGTGGAAGAGCTTCCGCGGCGAATCAAAGCAAAAGTAATAATGAACTGCTAATTTCTCAACTTATGGTTTGGGTATCATGTTATTTTGTGTTTTCAAATTTGCAAGTTATCATTCCATATCTGTGAATAAAGCTGAAAGATCTTAGAATTCTTCTTCTATTTTGCGATAGCATGTCTATTGATATCTGCGAAATGTAAAAAAGTGAAAAAAAGGGAATATTGCTTTCTTGAGGCAGCGTGCAATGGTTGTTTCTCCAAGAGGAAGAAGCCGATCGCTCAGCCGTAGCCCGGTTCGACGCAAGGTATTGTCTTTCCTTGAAATACAATCGACTTTTCAATTGTTGTAACAAACTACCCAGCGTTAAAGCAAGTTATGAAGAAGTTTGCTTACATTAAAGTTTAATTTCCGCTAGAGGTTCTATTCTGAAGAACATTTGTCAAGCTGTGACTAGGGTAATTGAACACTTTGCAATGGATTCTCTAATTACGTTGTTCAACAAAATAAAAAAAGTGGCACTGACCCCTAGGGTTCTTTAAAATTTAGAGTCGATTGTATTCTGCTTTAGTGCACCAAGAAAATTCAGTTACCAAGTTAAACTTATAATTAAGGCAAGAGAAATTCAAAGCAATCCGTAAATTCTCAAATGTTCAACTCAATGTTTCGTGACAATTCAGCATCGTGGCCGCTCTCTTTCTCGTTCTGTAAGCCGTGGATCTCGTTCGCCATCGATGAGTCGGGATAGGAAACGCTCGTATCGACGCTCTTATAGCAGGTACCTTTATCATTATTTATTTTAGTCCAAACTCTTTTGTGCGACTCAAATAAAAACGAATGAATGTGAGTTTAGGTCACCTCCTCGCGTTGACAGAAAATCCCGTCGTCATACTTATGGAAATCGCTATAATCCAGAGCCAAATAGGTATTTTTTATGCGAGCTTCATTGATTACAATATTTTAGATGCCTTGGTGTGTTCAATCTTCCCAAATCAACGACAGAAAGGGAGCTTGACAAGCTGTTTGGAAAATATGGAGACATTGAACAGGTTCAGTAAATCAGTAACAATAATTTGTTTGCTTTAGATCCGCCTTGTTCGTGATCACTACACCCGTGAGTCAAGGGGCTATGCTTTTATCTACTTTGATACGACGAAGGATGCAACTCGTGCTCGAGACCGGATGATGGGAGCTAACGTGCGTTTACCCCATTTGAAATTTAAACGTTATTCCTTTTAACATAAACTTAACCATTCTAATTTTAGATTGGCGGTAGGGAAATCCGTGTGGACTTTTCAATTGCTGGAAGTAACCGCCGACTCTCGCCTAGACGTAACAATGAGGATTATCGGTATACTTGACTAAAACTTCTTTCTGCACTTGCTTTTAGTCGCTCTCGTTCAAGAGCTCGATCTCGTTCAAGGGCTCTCTCAAGCCGCTCAAGGTCGCCACGTCGTTCGCGACGCGACGGGGGCTCTCGAAGCAGATCACCAGCTCCAAAACAGTAAGGTTTATTTTCTTTAAAATACAATCGTAACAGGCCTTTTTGTTAGAGTGATTTTCTTTATGAAGTCACTTTGTGGTAATTACTCCCGGAATATTATCATACAATGTTATTAATTTAGGCCTCGTCATTCGGCTTCAAAGTCTCCTTCGCGTGAGAAGAGCGTCTCACAAGAACCATCAGTTCACAGCAACAAGTCACCCGAGCCTTCGCCTTCATAAACGTATGGAAGTGAAAGGTTTAATTCTTACATTGTTTTTAATACGTTGTTCTTAATGCCCAGTTTTTGGTTTAAATAAAATTGTTAAAGTTTGTTGAATATTTTGTAAAATGCCCAAATGCCAAAGATTTGATCGGCATTTTTCCTGAGCATTTTCATATGAAATTGGAAAGAAATTGGCTTTGTTTGCAAAAAATGAGGGGCATTGTTTAAAATTCAAATTTGAAACGCCCAGCGTCTCATTATCTGTCATTTTTTAAGCTATATTTTTTGGATGAGACTCTTTTTCATTCAATATTTTATGAAAGAGCATTTTCTTTGCTCATTGCCAATAATGTTACAAGTCCTAAAACCGATGTTGTATGAAAAGATGGCCGACGGAATTAGGTTTTCCGCTGTGAATGAGCCCGATGGATGCGTTAGGCCTCGTTAGGTAAGGATGACCAAAAGGGGAGCCTTTTAAAGAGAAAACCTAGGCACAAACGAGATACATTGTTGTTTTTCTTTAGACTTGAATTATTCGTTCAGGCAAATACAATAAGCATAATGCACTTCATAAATTTATGGGGTAATGGTTCGTTTTCATTTTAATCCGCATTCGTGTCTAGGGATTTACTAGTATCTAGTTTACATATTAGTAGCCAGTGATCCTTTACCTTGCTTCTTTTATTCTTTAACCCCATCTTTACATTCAGTGAACGACTTTGTTGACTGCCGGCCGTTTGTCGGTATTTAGATTGAATGAAAGGTGGGGATATTTGAGAGAAAATGGGGATCGGCTCCCAGAAGAGTCAAATTTCAATCCAGACCCTCTTTTCTTCTTTCTTTCCCCATTCTTCTCCTCCAATCATCAAGTCATCCTTTGGGATTCTGGATTCTTCTTCAATGTTTTTGCCTAAACACTAATGAAGTTGTCTGATGGATTACGTTGTTTTTTTAGATTTGATAGGAAAGCTTTAGGTAGTGACTCACCGTAATATCTTTTAACAAAGCTATTTCTGGGTTACGATAAGATTCTTGGTGCTATCGAGGTGCCACTTAATGCTTTTGTCAAAGTTTTTTTCTAAAAAATGCACCCGCTACCGTAATCCCATGATTGCAGCGTTCCCTACAGGCTTTTTTTTCCAAAGAAACGGATCTCGTTCTCAATTAGCCAGTCTCTCAAAAGTATTTGACCACACGAGAAAGAAAGACGAGTTATTTGATTGACCATAAGAGAAGGACAATGTGGTGGTGCGCGAATTGTATCCTCCCTCTTCATAATGAGTCTTTCCCTTTCCTTTTTTCGGGGTGAGATTGTTGAATAGTAAGGGGGGGAAATGGGTATTGTCATCGATCCTCTCCTTTGGATTCACCTCACCTTTCCTTTCCCATCTCCAACTCGGGTCACAGCACTTACCAATTCGGAACTCTCGTTATTTGGGATGAGCCTCACTGTCGTTTGGCCTCATTTCTTGTTCATCCGAAAATTGTTTTCCTTCTTTGTAGTCTTGGGGTTTTGGTCATCCTTATAAGAACTCGAAATTTGGTGCTTTTTTCTTTGAATTTGATTGGAATTTGGTTATAGTATCCCTCTAGAATAGAGTTTTCTAAAATGCGCCTTAGCTAAAGGTATCGTAATCCTAGTCTTTTGGTGAATCCCTCATTTTAGAATTGTTTCTTAGCTGATAAAGGCCACCAAGCTCACTTGATTAAAATGAAAAAGACTCTTAGAGTACTGTAGCGTACTGTAGCCATCTTTCTTTCATCTTTCAGGAAACGCTTTAGCCACTTTGCCCATCATCTAAACTCCATCCACTTCTACCAAAGTTTAATTTTGAAACGTTCATCTTTTTGACTATTCAATTAACTCAATATTAACTCACTTTGCTTATTGACACCTATCTTCGAATATCGGATGCGAAATATTCTCACATCTGGCGCTTTCGATAGGCCCAAGATGGGAAGAGACAACTCCGGAAATGGTGGCTGGGGTGAGCGCCTGCTAATCCCGGGACACATTTCTCCAATCTCACCATATGAGCCTATCTCTTTACACTTTCTGGCTCGCCAATTTTTGCTAAATTTGCCAAATTTGTCAAATTTGTCAAATTTTTGGCTTGAAATTTACTGTAAAGTTTAGTCTTTGTATCTCATTGTATTTCAGAAACTGTCATTTGAGAAGGGTGTAAAATAGCCGGTTACTATAAAGTATTTGGTAGCTATACTTGAAAAACAGTTCCCATAAAAGAAATGACCCACGATGAAACTCCCTAAAGACCCAAAAGTGACACCTGCCAATAAAGGTAAACCAACCCCCTCCCCCCTTTGAGTGCAAACAACACCAACTTCCTTTCACAAATTAACTCTTTCAATATCTAATTCCTTCGATCTAAATTATCCGCATAATCACTGATTTCAGAAGCCAATCAAGCCCGCCAGCACAAATTTCCACTTTTTTTTTACAGTGATGCGCCCTCTTGTGCTCATTTTCCTTTTATTCATGAGCACTTCAGCTATTTATATCAAAAGTGATACGTCAACAATGCCTTCAAGTAAGCGAACAAGACTTACAAATTGAATATCAAGATTTTGCATGCTACGTAAATTGGTTTCCCCGAGATCATCAAAGTAACTTTAGTGCTTCTTGAGTCTTGGGCTCAAGCTCTTCGCCCGTCTCCATCACGAGAACCCACCCCACCAACCACAAAGCATCGGTCACCACAAATTGCTCCCGTATTTTGAATAAATTTATTGGCATTTATTCCAAATCAACAACGTTTCAACAATGCAAGAAAAACAACACCTCAAATGGTCAGAACGTCTTTGACAGCTTCTCGTAAGACGCAAACCAGCGAATCGAAATCTTTCAAACTCGGTGTTGATAATTCGACATTCTAAAGAAAAACATTGAATTAAATTTGAAACGATTGACCTCTTTAGCACTGGTGTGTCTCAAAACAAAAGCTCCAAGCTCGTTCGCGGCAATCATAAACGCTCCCGAATTTCTTTCCTTTTCCACTCGACGAGAACGAAGAGCACCTGCATATTCCGACAAGAGCATGCTGAACAAACGTTTGCAACTTAAACAAATCTTATAAACAACCTGTACTGTACGTAGCAAGTCTCCTCTTTAGCTTTAGCCGCATTCTCTGATATTTCTTTGATGAAGTCAAGAAGCGGCTTCTGAAATAATATATACTATTGGATTATCAATTTGCTGAACATTACCAATACATTGGAAGACGTTGTCATCTCTCGTACAACATTTCTCCGACTACTCCATAGCGTTAATTGACATTCAAGGGCATCACTAAGAGCGCTGTTTCCATAAGCACCAAGTAAGATGATCTAAATAAAATTTAATTTTCAAAGGACTTTCCATCAAACCTTTGAGAATCCAATATGCCCAACGGAAAACTCCTCGTACTTTGTTAACAGCTCTTCGTAACTAAAAAAATTTGAAAACTCCAAAATAAAATAAGTCATACAATGGCATGAAAGCGTCAAGGCCCGCCACGGGTCGTTCAAGTCGAAGAATTAGTTGCCCTTTTCGCGATTGAGGCAACAAAAATTGCTCCAAGAGCATCGATGTGCACTCTTCAATAATCGTATCGGTAAACAATTCTGGGCCTAAACTTAAATTTTGAGAGAAAATGTTTTACTACCAACCCAAAATATAAAGTTCTGCCAGTCGTACATAAAAATCGCTGGGGTCAACCATTGTATAGAATAGTGTCGGTCTTTCTGCAAAAAGTAACGCCGTCCACATTAGCGTTAAACGAACGATGTCGAGATCATCTGTGGTAGAAGACCTGAATTATCGAACTCAAACTAAAACACGTACTGAACCAGACCTTTCCGATTTCTGCATTGCATCCAAAACGCTTCGGATCGGTCGCAACATCCATGAGCCATCCACTACCGGATTTAGTCCATTTGCAAACCGCTGGACCTGCTTTCCACCAACGTTACTGAACCGTTACGCATTAAGAATAAAATAAAATTTTACATTTCTTCAAGGTAGAGTTTCTTAATCTCGTCAATTTTACTTCTCGCTAACTCGAGTGTCGAATTTGGTGCTTCGGTTCTAAATGGTATTTTTTGAAGTAATGCAATTAAAGAAAACCTGGTAGAGGCTTTCAATAGATCAAATAGACGAGTGGCTTGGTGTTCTTGTCTTGGAATCACTCTTCGAGCGCATTTCGTCAATAAGTCGAGTTGAACTGCATCCTAAAACAAGCAGATTTTTAAAACGCTAGATGCTAAAAAAACTTACGGCAGCTAATCTGTCGTACTTTTCTTCTGCTTTCCAATCTGCAAACTCCTCCAACACTTCTAATTGTCTGATAGCTTCGGTAGATATAGAAGTTTGCGGCTAAACTATTTTTTTAATAGTAGCTAAGATTATTCTACTTCATTTTTTTCCTCCGCCAATCCCTGTTCGCGTAGCAGCTTCGCTTGTTTATATTGGGAAACTAAAAAATTTAAGTATTCATTCAATAAATAGTTCAACTACCTTGAGGCTTTGCTAGAGCCTCAGATGAAGGTTTAGCGTTTTTTGACTTATGCCGGTTCTTCAAGAATTCCAACAACTTCGGATCTAAAAAGCTGTCGTTTATTTGATAAAATCAATTATTTTAACGCTACAGGCTAACTACTTACCAAGCTTTTCTTCAATTTCTTTGCGTGCTGCTACAAGTTCATCATTTTTCATCGCAGCCAGCCGTTTCACGTTTTCCTCTTCAAAATCATTTTGCGTCTCACTTGCTAACGCCGTAATTGAATCTTCCTCGATGGGGTCATGTCTCGCATCTAAAATAGTGCATACAGTCTTAACTGAATACCAAATCAAAGTTTTGGTAAATTTGTCCCTACCTTCAATGTGGCCATTAAGGCGGTCGAACTCAGTTGCAAAATAACTTTTCCCAGCATCGGCTTGTCTTTTCGCACTGCCAACTTTGTAGTAAGATGAGAGATCAATAGCCTGTTAAAAACAATAAAATTTAATACAGTTGACTCTCGATTTAACGATTCGCTCGGGACCAAAAATTTCGATTTAACGATTCTAAAACGCGCCCAAATTTTTTGCGTAGCTGCCTTGAAAGGCCAACGATTGCGTTTTGCTGGGCAGCTGCGCAAAAAGCAAGGGCGTGTTTTAGAATTTCAAAATCGTTGTATCGAGAGTTGACTTTAACAAAGTACAAACTAACCTCTGGAAAACCGTCATCTTCTGAGTAGCTTTTCAGGGTTGATGCTGGCAGTTTGCTTGTTGTCGGTTGAAGATCAAGTAGATCAGTGTTGCGCTCCTAAATGATTCTGTTTAATAAAACCCCCATGAGCTCCCACTTCGACGTCAAAAAGAACTTGATAGCTTTCAAGTTCGGGTAAAGTGTCTAAATCCAACGTGAATCGTCCGGCCAAGTTGGGTCGCTTTGAACCTTCCCGTTGATTTTTAACGGCATTCAAAGACGGCTATAATATAAACTGAAGTGTTTAAAAGCTAAAAATACTTTTTGATCTGGGCCTCCAACTACCGTTGCTTTTTTGATTGGGCGCTTGATTTTGACGGAACACTAAATCCCAGATAAGTTTTACAATAAATTCGTAGTAGACCTGACTATCGCCCTGCTGAAATTCCGCTTCAAGCCTTTTAAGATCATCTTCGGTTTCTCCAGGTTTGGGTCGTGCTATCATCTTTAATCTTTAAAAAAGTATGTTCTTCTAGTTTCAAGTTGAGCGATTTAAAGTATTGCAATGCAAACAGTACATATTTATAAAAAACGAAAACAAATTATAACAACATTTATTGAACAAATTATTTAAAGCCTTTCTTGGCAAGTCTGCATCGGCTCGTTGGAGTCCTAAATAAAGTAGCTTATTTGAAATTCATTAATCTCTACTTTGGAGTGATTTGCAAGTCATGAAAATGGAAGTTGAGAATTGTAGCGGAGCCGCGTAGTGATTTGCGTCTTCTATCATTCGTCTTCTGTCTGAAGGTGCTCATGATTCTTGCTCTAAAAAGCACGTAAACTATTTGAAAGCAATAAACTGCTCACCGAATGTTTTCCGAACGAGGCGAATGTTTTTTCTCCTCAAACAACGTCGGCGACATTACTGGCGTCTTGAACGAGCTTTCATCAAACACCAGCCTAAAATTGGAAATTTTTGGAAATTTGAAAAAAAGTTAGACACAAACCGATTTTTTGGAGTCATAGAACGACGTGGATCACAACCATCATCCATTGAACTTGACGTCGATGCAAAAGAAGCAGCCCTCAACCGAAGCCGAGCTAAACAACGCAAAATTAACAAATAAAAGAAAAGGAAACTCACGAGGTTTCTCTCTCAGACCGCTGAGTTTCACTTTTGGTGATTTCGACATTGGAGAAGTTACGCAGAACGATGATGTGGCTTGCCGGATTTGTTGCAGTTCTTTTTGCGCAGTGCTTCTTGTTGTCGGTTTCGACGCTCTTGTGCCTGCCTTGAGCTTCATAGTGACTTGAACCGGGCCCGTCTTGCAGTTCTTGCGTCCACCCTTCGAAACTTTGCCCATTTATTAACTGAAATAGTGTTATTAGTGCAAAAACGAGTAAAACAAAGTAAACTTTAGTAAATATAAAATTCTGTGAAGCGAGAAAATAATGATTTTTAGAGTTTTTCAGGTTTATATAATTTTTTGAAAATATTTTCCATCGATAATGAATATTCAGTTAAAAAGCTAATCAGTTATTTTCATTCAGTTAGTATAAATTAACTTTTTAAATCGCTCACCTTCATTTTACGTGTTTTCTTTTCGACCCATTTTTCTCTGTAGAAACCATGAAATTTTTATTAGAGTTCTTTTCAAAAGCGGGTTTTGTTGTTTCAAAATTCAAACCCATGCCAGTACACACTAAAACGCGAATTACGCCGTGATGTAGCGCTTTCTCATCGAACAAAGTTCTCTCGAAAGATTTTCTTGCACTGTTTTTTGTTTGCTTTATCATTCGTCAATCACGCCACATTTTTAGGCGTTATCGTGCTGGAAATCGATCTGAGAGGGGCAAGTGCGGCAGTGTCGCATTTAGACGCCAGAAGAGTTATTCGAAAGGTTGCTAATGGTGAAAACGGAGCAAGTCCAGGTCCACAGGTTCGACCACAACAACACTGAAGTCATAAAGGTGGGCCTTTTTCATAAGTTAAACCTCTTGTTTCTCTACTCTGTGCGTTGGCTTGTTTGTGGAAAAGATTGGTACTTTGTAGTTTCTCTTCTGTGACTCATTGAGCAGATGTCAAAATTTGGTTCGTAAAGTTTAATTAAGTAAATAATTGTTTCAATAAAGTTTCAAATTAAGCATTGAGTTGAAGTTATCAAATTTGATGTTCCACTTTAATTTAACTTTTTATTTAAATTAATAAAAGGTTAGACATTGTGTTAATTTAAAGCTGCTTCCTTAGATGCCTATCGCGAAGGGGTGCACGTAAACTAAGTGTGGTTATATTTTTTTGGGCAATTAAAATCATAAGTTAAATCGTTTTTTAGACTGGTCCGATTGCTAACATCTATCTGCAATACTTGCTTCTGTCCGGGCTTTATATGCTCGAGCCTTGGGAGCGAAGTCTCTTCAACGCAAGTCTAGTGGCCTTCGTCGGATTTTGGGCATATCTTCTCGTTCATCTCTTTTTCTAAGGTGAGATTATATTTATTTTAAAGTTTTAATAAATTTTAAGTGAAAAATGAGATTAATTAATAAAAATTTAGCACAAATGTCTGTCGATCCAAATGAAGCCCCTTCATCTTCCAAAGTTTCTGTGTTATTAAATCCCGTTGGCGATGCTCCAATCTTGAAAAAAAGAAAGTAAGGTATTTTATTTTATTTGCAATAAAAATTGTTTTAGATACTCTGTTTATTTTTCGTTTGCAATTAAAAAATTTTTAGATACGCTGTTGATCCTTCCCGTGATATCGCTTGGTTTACGATGACAATTCGTCGAATGCTCAATTTGCCACCAGAAAAGAGCTTGTTCTTTTGTCGCGCAGAGCTTCGCCCCATCTCCTGATCACACTTTTGAAGTATTACGCAACTGTTTTTCGCTGCAAGATGACACACTCGTCCTTCACTATAGTACTACTCTTGCCTGGGGTTAATTTTTCCAATTCTTCATTTACCTACTTATTTCCACGATAATAGATTTGATTCAGAATTTGAAGGTTGTTGTTTTATCATTGATTTTTTTGTCACAATGGTCTGCATTTGCAACTAAACTTGTACTGATTATTTGAATGCTAATAAATGGATTTTTGAAGCATAAAATACGTCAAGGGCTGTACCAAGAAATTTCTGTTATCGGACTTTTGAAAAGCATGGAAGAAATGCGAAATCACGCCCATATGTTGTAGGAAAATGATGGGGCTGGTTGATTACGACAGTGAGTCGGGAAGCGACGAGGAATCGAAAACTTTGCAACCACAGCCTAAAAAGTTGCTTGAAATAGAAAACAAAACAATTTATTTGCTAATTTTAGTATTTCCGCAGCAGAAGACGGAGATTTCTTTTCTACCAAAAGCGATAATGATGGAGGTAACTGTGCTTTTTCAAATGTTCAAATCAATCGGACGTTTTTAGATAACGAATGCACAACAAACCCAGCACCACTATTTGACGAAGATGAGAAGGATCTCGATGATGTGGTGAAGCCAAAAAGCTTGGGAGAAAGCTTTAGCGGAAAAGGTCATTGGAATTAAGAGTCATTTATTCTAAAGTTTATTTTAGACAAGAAGAAAACTCGAAAAGAAGGCTGAGAAAAAGAAGAGAAAAGATGCAAAAGCATCATTAAAAGAAGCGCAGAAATCAGAAACATCTATTGTTAGAGAAGCTGAACCAAAACCAAGAAGCGACCCCAGGTACGTTTATCATTCGTTGGAAAGACTTATAGCTTTATTTAGATTGCTTTATTTGGTGCACTGAACATGGCAGCAGATCCGGGAAGTGATAGTGAGGAAGAGGAAACAAAACCGGGAGTATGTTTTTGTTTTTGGCAACATTGTAGAATTTGATAATTTCAGCCATCTGGGCTTGCTCAACCCGGTGCAAAAGGATTACTTGGAATGTTACCTCCTCCATCGAAAATGGCAGCCACAAAACCAGGTTCAGGAAAGCAAGGAATCATGTTACCAGCTTCACTACGAACTACTGCAGCAAAGAAACCCACACCTGCGCCAGCTGTTACGGCAACAACAACAATCAAGAAGGTTAGGCTAACACACATCTTTACTTACCTAATTTTGTAGAAACCTCTCATTGATGATCAAGATTCTGATTCTGATGATGAAGCTGGCGATTTCTTTGGTCTTACTTCAAGTGCGCCGAGTGCTAAGGTAAAAGCTTTAAAACATTGAATTAAACTTTATTTACTTAAAAATTTATATTATTCATTTTAGATGGCAAGATTGGAGGACCAATCCGAAATTCCTATGATGCCCAGTGGAGGACTTGAGGAGGTTGTTGGACCAATGCGGCCGGCGGCAAATGTTTGTAACATTGATTCTTTTATCAAAAATTTCGTTTTAGGAATACGTTCATCCGTCGGAAATGTACAATATGGCTAATTTCGAGATGGAGGCAAAGCGCAAAGGAATCATTACTGACCAGGTCAGTTTGCTAGTTTGCTAGAGCCATAGCACAGATGAAAAAGAAATTTGACATTTAAAAATTCTTTGTCTCAAGTAAACTTTATCTTTTAAATTTCAAATCATTTCAGGAAGCTCATCGTTTGATTCTTCAGAGGGAAAGCGATTTTGGAATGGGAGTTTCAGACATTGTGAGCAATATCCAGGATTTCTCAGTGGAACAGGTAAGCCCCTGTTTTTTTAAACAAAAAGGGTTTTAATTTTAGGCACTCGGCCCGAATGTTCATGCGCAACTCTTGCGTAACATCACGAAGCAACAACACGCAAAATCGACCGCCATCCCGTTGCCTAAAGTTGCAGGTGTGCGCGATATCAACGCAAAGAGGAAGAATCAAATTACGTATCTTGCACAAATGGTAAGTTAATTTTGAGCATGCAGTTTTTAGCAAACTGAATTGATCCGTATAACAAATATTTAAATTAAAACAAAAACTTTAGGCTGTTGCCAGAGAAGAAGCTTTACAAGATGCAAGAGCAGACTCGAAGCACACCAAGAGAATGGCCAGGCAAAAATACGGCTTCTGAAGATTTTTTTCACCGTTTGTTCTCTTTTTAAAATTTTAATGCGATTTTTACGAGAAATTCTTTTTTTGATAAATGTGTATTTTTCATGTCGGATAAATGTGTATTTTTCAGGATAACCAAAAGTTTATCGAAAACTTAACAACTAAAATACCCATGTACACAGATCACATCTTATAATTACACAAGAATTCAAACCATCAGTTCAAAACATCGTCTGGGACGAGAGATAATTGTTCTTCCGTTGAAATTGGTTGATCGTCTTTCCTTTCACGAAGAGCAACACTGCGTCGAGTCAAACCAAAGAATGATTTTGGTTCATATCTAAAAGTGAATCATGAAACAAAAGCAATAAAAACAACTAACTTTTTCGATGTATACTCCCATCCGAGATGGTCGAGACACATTGTGCACTCAATGATCTGCCATTTATATCTAAAACAAGACATCAATGTAGCATACACTAGCAAATTTACCCTTCGAACCAAGAAAATGAGGCGTCTGGTGGGCCACGGAAAGCATAATGTTGCGCTTCGGTGGTGGTGATGATTTCATGAACAAAACCATCTAAACATATATTTAAAAACAACTCAAATATCGCTAACAATTGTTCACAAAGTGTCGACTGTTTCCTTCAGCGGTCACCGAGAAAATGTCTTCGGCTCGAGCAATGGTTGTGTGGCACCGTACACAGGCAATGTCCATTTTCTAAATTAACCTTTACAAAATTTAGTTGCCTAAAAAATGACCTTGAAAAGCTTTTCAACCATCATGTCGATTCGGCGGTCTACAGAATTTTCCTGTAATAGAGCCAACTTGGTGTCAATCTCAACGGGGATATTGGCGGCAAGGAAAAATGAAAGTTCTGTCAGACCCTAAATCAATGGGAAATTTGCTAGGAAAAAGTTGCACAAAGCAACCTTGTTGTAAGTTTCTTCAAGTTTGACTTTTGTTTCGGGCGACGGCGACCAGCTACACATGAAATTTAGTAGAGTTCGAGCCTTTTTTTCCTAAAAACGATTTTGTTTTAAACAAAGCTAAATACAGCTTACCGTTGAAAATGTCGAGATAACCCATCGCACATAGGTTACAAAAATAATCGTCTTTAAATCAAAAATCCGAACACTACAAATTTTAAGGTAGGCCCAAAAATAAACGGAAAAAATAAAATAATCCGAAAAGCATCATCCAAAATTTCAGAATTAAAGGCGGCGACTTTGATGTTAGTGAAATTTCATATTTCATCGAACCATAAAGTGTTATATGTCATTCAATAGCTCTTTTCACGCTCTTTCAGAATGCTGAATTGAGTTTTTGTGGAATTCTATTTTTCCATGAAATTTTTTCCATATTCTGCGCAGAAAAGTCAAAATAATTTTTTTCACGAAAATCTAGCTGATAAACTAGGCTCAAAAAGCAAATTTCTGAATTCTACGCAAAAAGTTGGTCGGGAATTGTTTTTTAATTTGGTGTTTTGTCAATGGAAACGCGAGCTCTGAAACCTAGGTTTTTAGGAAAGGGCGCGGTTATATGGCCCGCGCGCACCTTTTTGGTTTTGGTAAAATTTTGCTTTTGTGTGTCAAATCATCAAGTGTTATATATCATTCGAAAGCATTTTTATGTGTTTAAACATGGCAAAAAAATTTCCCAAAACTTTGACTTTTTATTAGTTTTCTCCGATTTTATAATCTGAGTGCATTTTTTTTTCTTGCTTCTGCGGTACTTGCAGATCTGGTATGGTAAAAAAAAAAAATTTTATTAAACATGAATAAGGGAAAAAAAAAAAAAAAGAAAAAAAATTTTCCCCCCCCAACATGGTAGTAAAAAAAACAAAACTAAAGGAAAAAAAAAAACAAATTTTTTTCGCCAGAAAAAAAAACCCTTTTCCTTCCGTTTGGGAGAAAAAATTCTAACCAGTCGGCCAACTGGTCTAGATAGAGTCTAGAAAAAATTTATTCTATTTACAAGCATAAATTAGACAAAAAAAAGAATCACAATTGAACAGATCACAGTTGATTGAATCACAATTTAAGCAAAAAGGAGGAAATTAAGATGTCATCTTTCCATCATCATTGAGGAGAACAACATAACCGAGCCACTTGAGCGAGTTCATTAGTCGCTCTTCTTGTGGTCCTGTCTTGTTTCGAGCAAATTCAGATTCTAGCTTGCTGTGAACTGCCTCAATGCCCTCTTCGGATGCATTTCCGATGAATTGATGCTCATGGACAAATGGGCCAAGATGTAAGAGTAGAGCATGAACCAGTACACTTTGTCCAAAACCACCAACTTTTTCTAGTTCATCGCAAAGAATCGCTGTTTGGCAGCAATTTCTGGCTTTTGAATGTTTGCCTTTGCAAGCCAAATCTTTTATTTCTTTATCCGAAAGAACACTTTTAGTGGTTGAAACCATTTGAGACCATTTGTTAAACTCGCGTAATGCAGAAATGACCATTTGATAGGAACGGGAGGAAGAAACGACTGCTAAATCAGAAATCACTGAGGATCGACAGAGATTCTTTATATCGTTTCGTTGAAACGAGCATAGATAATCCCATCACTCTTCCGATTCACATCCAACTTCCATTTTCGAGCCTTCGAGTTTCACCAATTGTTCAAAAAGTTGGTTTCCAATCTTGATTTTTGCATGAAGTATTGGGGGAATTACCAAACTTCGAGAAACATTTAATAGATTTTCTTTTTTTGCCTGCAGACCTTTTACTTTTGAAATCATCGCTTCCACCGAAGGGTCACTCCAATTAGCATATTATTAAAAATCAATTGAATCCTTATCAGCGGATGGTTTTTTGTCAAAGCTCTTGTTGCACCATAAACATCCAAACGTCATCGCACAGGAAAGACCAAAATTGGTGTTCAAGAAAGATAGATCTCCACCGAGAAAAACCATATATCCGGCTTGCACCAAAGTCTCAAAGTCTTTCCAAATTCCCTTTTCCTTCAGCGAGTTGTAAGAATCTGAATCTTCCCAAGCTTGTAATGGCAGACAATTGCGATACAAGCACGGTTTTTCGCAGATTAGGAATGAAATAGTTGAAATAACTCGGCCGTGTCCTTTATTGAGGGAAAAAATCAGCCGTTTTCCTCGTTCATCCAGCAGATCCAATCTTCTTCGCCGCTTTTCAACAGCTTTCAACACAGCTTCTAATCTTACTCCTTCATTGAGAACTATTTCATACTTGAAAAACTGGTCCAGATTCTTCTTGGCCTTTTCGATAGTTCGTTGTGAGCCAATGGTTACTCCTTGGTTTGATTGAAGAAAATGGTTTACAGATAATAGTCCTTTATTTGATAGATTGGCACTTTTTTCATACCGAGCAGAGCTTCTAGAGTTGGAGGAGTCGGTGATTTGGTTTGAATATGTGAGGTTGAAGCAACAGAATCATCATCTTTTTGACGATTTTGCTCGGCTCTTTTCTTTTCATTATCTTTCGGAATCCTTGCCTCCAGTGCTCCTTTCAAATGTGCTTTTCTGTTGAATTCTTTTTCTTGATTGTCTGCGGATCGTGATGAGCTTTCTTCTTTTTATTGCACAGGATTTGCAGGAACTTTCCCACTTCGTAATCCGTGCATGTTGTTTTGATTCGTTTGGCGTCCATGTTCCAAGTTGCCACTTCTAGACTTTTTGGCTTCTGATGTTCGTCCCATCTGCAAATTATAAAATTTGTTTTGAAAATTATAACTTTTGTTTTGTTTCTTGGAAATACGAATGTAATAAGAAAAATAATAATACGCTAATAATCAAAAAATAAATAATCGGAAAGCAAATTTGTCTGTAACTAAATGATTTTCTCCTGCGATTGACATTTATAACTTTATCATCTGTCATGCCTCGGCATAGTAATTTATCGAGTAATTGTCAAGGCAGTCTGTATTTGTCTGTGCACCTGGGTTGCCTACCTGAAATTGACAAATACTCTCAATTTCAACTTTCCTGGAATTGTAACTCTTTCTTCAAAAAAAAATTCTTTACTTTTCTTAGAATAAATTTTTTCTAGACTATACCAGATCTGCAAGTACCGCAGAAGCAGAAAAAAAACTGCACTCCAGATTATAAAATCGGAGAAAACTAATAAAAAGTCAAAGTTTTTGGGAAATTCTTTTTGCCATGTTTAAACACATAAAAATGCTTTCGAATGATATATAACACTTGATGATTTGACACAAAAGAAAAATTTTACCAACATCAAAGGTGCGCGCGGGCCATATAACCGCGCCCTTCTAAAAAACCTAGGTTTCAGAGCTCGCGTTTCCATTGACCAAAACACCAAATTAAAAAACAATTCCCGACCAACTTTTTGCGTAGAATTCAGAAATTTGCTTTTTGAGCCTAGTTTATCAGCTAGATTTTCGTGAAAAAAATTATTTTGACTTTTCTGCGCAGAATATGGAAAAAATTTCATGGAAAAATAGAATTCCACAAAAACTCAATTCAGCATTCTGAAAGAGCGTGAAAAGAGCTATTGAATGACATATAACACTTTATGGTTCGATGAAATATGAAATTTCACTAACATCAAAGTCGCCGCCTTTAATTCTGAAATTTTGGATGATGCTTTTCGGATTATTTTATTTTTTCCGTTTATTTTTGGGCCTAACTTAAAATTTGTAGTGTTCGGATTTTTGATTTAAAGAAAAAAATTTACATAGGGGTGTAATCGATGTGCATCGTGGAATATTATACAATTTCTCAGCAATTTTTCGTTGCTAAAACAAAAGATGTAACCTCATTAACCTCGAACTACTTACCTGAACTTTTACTTGAGATCGTGCTTTATTTGGTACTAAGGAAAACTGAAGTGGAGGCAAGAGATTTTCTGCCAGTATTTGCACACGGGCTGATAGAGAGCTAAATTAAACTTTAGAATTGTCAGCATTAAAATAAACCTATCGATATTCCGAATCGTTTCCAAAAGCTTAATACGATTGCGACCGATTGCGTAAACACGAAAGCCTCGTTGACCGCCATCACACGAGCGTGCTATCTAAATTTGGCATCAATAGATAACATCAGTAATTGTGAACAAATTAATATAACAAAAAGCCTTTCTAGCAAAACCTGCTAAATTCTGTAGTTTTGTGTGGAATAAATAACCTGCAAAAGCACACCAACGTCGATCGGCGTGGACACTCTCGGGTCATACCCACTGGATTTGGATTCACTATCAAGATTCAATTTCAAAGACAAACAAAGTTTCTCCCGGGAAAGCAGCCAGATAGGAATGATGAGCGACGGCAAATTTAGCAGTGGCCATGTCATTCGGATGATAAAGCAACAACGGGATGCGTTGATCTGAAAAAGCAGATGTTAAGTAAATCTACTCGTTACTCGGCTTTCGATTTTTTGAACTGCATCCAAACTTACTTGGCATCGGAAAGCAATCTTGGCTGATCCGCAACATTGGCAATTCCATTATCATTTCAGCAACAATCGTCTCGGAAGGCATCGCGAGATCAAGGACCTTAAGGAAATCAGCTTTTGGTAAGATTGTATTTTACCCCCGCTCACAATAAATTTTCGAAAACCACTTTTCTGGGGGTTTTCGAATATGCTGTTCGAAAATTGCTTCTAATTCCACAAAAGTTAACCAATTTGTATACCCACTTCACCAACTTGACCTTCTCGGCGACGAGTTCGACGTGTAAACAAATACTCATGGTTTATGGCATCCTAAAAACAAAGCTTTGATCAAACATGACTCATTTGAAACGTTTTCTTGAAATAAGCTCACCTTAACATTTATGTGTTGCGGTTCATGTTCCGAGCTTTCTCCATCTGAACTAGATGACGAGCTTGAAGACTCTAGAAAAATATATCTTTGTCTATTAAAAGAATTCTTTACCTCGACCAACCAAAGCTCCACGACCTCGATCGGCGAATCGTTCTCGCAGGTGAGCTGCCTAAAATGATAAAATTGATAAATACGTGAATTTATTTTATATCAACTAAAGCAAATTTGTAAAGCTCACAACGTTTACACGTGCTCGGTGAACCGCAATGGCGGGCGGTAAAATCGGAATAGCCTCGGGCTCATTCCCAAGCTGAAACCATTCCTAAAAAGAAAAATGAAATACTTTTTTTACAATATAAACGACCCAAAACGGCTTGCTAAACCGTTTAACCAAGTATATAAAGGCCAATTTCTTAGCGCTTTTTCGCAGAGCTCAAATGTAAGAGTTCCTAGTATCAAAAAACATTGGCAAGTCTATTTTTTAACGCAAAAACCTTACTCTATTGCCTCATCATCTTCTCGCTCGTTTTCCGTTTCTTCTGGTGATGCATCATCATTGTCATCTTGATTGATCCATTCACCCTCACTGTCGCTTTGTTCAGCCATTTGTGTTCACTTCTAAACATAGCCCATCGATTTTGAGGAAAATTTGCGAAAGACCACGGTAAACAAGTGCAATAAACAAAAAAGAGTACACACGCCGGCATTTAACGACTTTAGAGGCCGGTCTTTTGAAATTTTGCAAGTCAAAAACGCAAAAATCATGTTTTTATATAAACATTTGTAACAAGGAAAAAGATATTCAGCTAAAAAGCACTGTACTTTGTTGCTGTCAACATATTTAAGAATAAATATAGATTTTAAGTTACACAATTTACAAAAAGTGTCGTTTTGGGGGTGGGACAAATGCGACCTTTTTTTTTGCTGGAAAAGGCCTTAGGAAAGGTCGTAGAGCTTCAAAAATGTTTTCATAGAAGGGAATCGAATCGTATGCGTAGATTCCGAATTTCGACAAATCAGACCTCGCTGGCAGGTCAAATTTGGGCTAAAAGGCAAAAACTGCGGAAAAGCGTTAAGTTGCGTATTTGTCGTATAAAAGGTCGCATTTGTCCCACCCCCGTCGTTTTAAACGAAAACAAATACCTAATCTTTTGCTTTTCTCTGAATATCAATAAATATTTATTATCAATTGCACAAATTTACAAAAACTTAAAAAAAAATTCAAGCGAATGGACTATCAGAAGTGTGTAAAAGTATAGATTTTTTTAAAAATTTTAAAATCGGGCCCATTTTTTTTGTTCATCCGGGGGCCTATGGCAATGGGGGGTGCACTGAGATAAATTTTACGGGGGAAAAAAACGAAAAATTTCAGTGGTAAAGCATAAAGTCGAAGAAAAAGTAAGGCAAGTTGGCAGATAAATTTATTCGTTGTCAAAATTTCTTTCTGGACTTCAATGACGTGGATTGAAAATCCGTAGAATGAGGAAAAGATGTGAAGAATTGAATTGAAAAGAATTGAAACAGGGTCGCAAAAGTGAGAGACAATGATTTAAACTACTAGGCTATCTGTGTTTATTCAATTATAAAGGTCCAATGGGGGAAAGGCGATCCCGGGATTTCTCGATCGCCGTACTTGACGAAGATGAAGCCACGCACACTGTCGTGAATCTTGTAGTTGACCTGGAAGGTACAGTAAAATACGCTTCAACTTAAGAAACTAAGAGATACGCAGGACTACTGTAAGCTTACTGTAAGCTTACTGTAATTAGAGTCTGGTAGAGTACTGTAATATTTAGGAATAGGCTTGCAAACAAGTAAAGATAGTAAAGAACAAGTAAAGTAAAGATAACAAGTAAAGATTACTGAAGTATCCAAACTAAGATACCCAGTAGAATTTTCAGCTTACTGTAGCTCTTGCTGTAGTTCAATTTGACTATTACAGTACTCCAACTGGCCATTACAGTACCCTCTAGATTACAGTACCCTCTAGATTACAGTAGTCTTGATCGACTGCAGTACTATATTGGACCATTACAGTACTCCCTGCTATTCTATTCTTTTATCAACTCACCACATAATGCCCAGCTCCCATGTGTTTGACGACCACCTCCTCGCATGGTCCCTTTGATGTCACAACACCGACCATCAGCAGATTTGTCCCTGAAATTAGTTTTAGAAAGAGATCACAGACAGCTACAGTATGCCCTACAATACTCTATTCTTTGTTTAAGCCCTTCAACTTACCAGCCAGCCCCGTATCAATGTTGAACGACGAGGCGACCCCTGGGGTGAACTTGTTCAGCCCGGTGCCCTTAGCCACAACCTGAACCATATTTTCAGAGATTACTGTAGGATATTCACCTTATCAGCATCTCCTGAATACTGAATTCCTCCATTGATCGCTTCTCCATTGACTCGATGTTCCGAGTGACGATAAGAGGAAAGACCATGTCGATGACCCTCTCCAGATGGAACCATGAATACCTGAAGTTTAGCATTAAAGCATGTGACTTCTTTTGGTATATTGTAGTCTATACTGTAGCATTAAATCCTGTAGAACCCTCACTTTGAAAGGCGATTCAGCAATGTGCTCATCGTTGAACTTGACCGCGACAGAGTACTCGCCTGGCTCGCCCACCGTGTACTCGGCATGACAATTCCCGTCCTGAAACATCTTCTTCACATTTGAAAGAGCAAACTTTTTGTCTTTAGCCTCAAATCCTTTTACCTTATGATCACTGAAGTGCATCTTTGCCTTTGCTGGCCCTTCAACACTCACAGACAACTTGCCAGCGCCAGCCTCTCTTGTATAGATATTGAAAGCATTTGGCACTCCAACTTCTCCTCTCACCACTCCCATTCCAGAGGCTTTCACCTAACAGTTATTCATTATACAAATCTCTTTATACAAATCATTTAGAATCAAGTCTGTCTTGACAAGTAGCTTAGTTTAAGTACGGTAGGATATAGTACGTAGCCTGGCGCAATTGTTTACGAGAGAGTACTGTATGATTCTAAACACTCTAAAAATAAACACTGACCCTTTTACTTTTACTCTAGCTTCTACCGTACCTTGTGCGCTCCACCATCAGCCAAATGTCCAACAGTAAAGTTGAAGGGTGACCCATTGACGTGTTGATCTCGATGGAAAACGGACAAGGTGTGCACTCCTTCGTCATTTGGGGTGAAATGAAGAGCATAATATTGATCACCGGTATCGTGAATTGAGACAGGCACCTCTTCACCGTGTGGATTCACCAAGCGAGCACTCTGCGATATGTTAATCTCAGGTTTTGACTGAATATCTTTTAAGCTTACCATATCGTTCTCAACGGTGTGCGACAGTTTGAGGTAAATGTTCGCCTCACGACCCACAGCAGCGATCGATGGCTGAACAAGGGATAAGACTTTAAAGCTTGGCCCAGTTACCGTAACCGAATCTTTCCATAAAAAGGTAGCCAGGTCAAGCTTTAACGTCTTAAATTGGTTTTTTTTACCTTTGTTGTTTCTCTCTCGATTTCCGTAGCCGTTTGACTTACTCGATCAGTGCAAACAACAGAAAGTGGGCTTTCTGGAAATGAGATTTGTTTATTTCTTTTAGAGTTAAAGAAATTACAATAAGATAAAATGATATTCAGCTTATGGTAAGATTTTTGATCTAGATATTTAGCTAATTAGATAGAATACTTTTTTCTAGTGTACTAAGCAAGAGACTTACAGTAGATTTAAAATCTAAAGTTACCTTTTAACGTGTTGCTCAGCGAATTTGATATTCACTGTGTATTTTCCAGCTTCGGTCGGTCGATAGTGGACAGCGATTAGACCCGGTTTAACCTCTTTGCATTTCAGCTCGGCTTTCGATGGACCCTGCACTGAGACGGAGAGACCACCATAACCTGAAAGACTTTAGATTTCACAAAAATCATTCATCACTCTGGATCACTACAACAGTTTCCAATCAACTCACCAGCTTTACTCGTGTCCACGAGGATCTCGTTGTCTTGATTGGTGACCGCATTGTGTTTTCCCTCACCTCTCACCTCCACCTTAGCCGCATCACCGATTTGGCTTTTATCCACCTGAAAAGATTTCCATAAATTGTGAGAGCTAAGAATCTATAAGCTGAATCTAAAATTCTGAATCCACACTTTAATCTTGAAGGGTCCTTTCGGTATTGGTTTCCCGTCGCGGAACACTTTGATGAGATGCTCACCGGCTTCACGGGGAGTGAAAGAGACTCCTGAATTTAATAGGTAAGAATGAATTTCTTTCTTTCTTTCTTTCTTTTTCTTCTCTCTTTTTCTTGACAAGTTAAGGCACCGAATAGCTCAATGATTAGAGCAATTGATCAAAAGCAAAATCAAAAGCAATAGGTCGAGGATTCAATCCTGGGAATCAACTTTATCTTGCCAATTCCTTTTTTACTATTAAAAGAATTTTCTACGCAAGAATGTATAAAGATTCTATGAATATCTCCAGATTAAACTTCAAATTTACCCAATCTTCCGCCCTCTAGCGCTCGCACAAAGCACGGTTCCACATGTCCCGATGGTGATTTAATCGTTGCCGTCACTCCGCTCAACTCTGACTCCGAAATGTTCAAAGCTATCTGAAAAAAAATATCGTGTAAACAATTCGAAATCCTCTCTTTTCTTTGTTAGTGAATTGAAATTTGATTTTTGAAAAGACAAAATCTTCACGACACCCCATTTAAAAACAAACCTGGGGTAACGCAAATTCACCGGCTTTCTAAAAAGAGTTATAATTTTTGTAAAATCTAAAGAATTGACAACTAGTTGACAGTTGACAAGTTGTCTTTCTTTGAATTCTACCTCGGACGTGGATCCAAGTTGTAAATGAGCGTTTTTGTGACCATCTTTTGCGTGTGCTTGCACGTGAAATGGAGAATCTTTCACATCTCGTCCACCCAACTTCACATGAACTTTATAGTCGCCAACAACTGGTGGAATCCATGAGACCGAACATGTGCCATCCTTAAATTACAAGTTTTACTTAAATTTAATCTACATAAAGTAAAATAGAAGATATTCACAGTACTTTATTATCGTGAATCTTGATATTCGCTTGAGCGGCTCCTTCGATGCTCACAGAGAGCTCTTTTGCATGTGATCCCTGAAAAGTATAGATATAACTACCGTAAATACTGTAATAGTACCCCACTGCCCTCGTACAGACGCGTAGTCGCAAAAGTTTTTCAGTATTTCATTTTTTTCAAAGCGCTCGTACTTTCAAAAATGCGTCTTTGGTATCAAAAAATAGCCCTGAATTTCAGCTATCTTTTGATACCTAAACGAACATTGTAGCATATACCAGTGTCGAGAAAACCGCGTTCAAAGCTAGACTACGCAACACTCCACACCGTCATTATCGGGGTGGGGTCCAATTACAGTATTTACGGTACGTATTCCTATGCATTTTCCTATGCACTAAAGCTTTTTTCATTTGTCAGTTTGATTGGCAATAGGTGTAGAACGGAAAATGAGCAACAGAAACTTTTTCAGACTAAAAGATAGAGCTTTTTTTTGATTGACCTTTGCTGAGACGGTGAACTGAGCTGACTCTCCAACAATCGCTTGTTGTAAAACCGGGTCCATAAACGGTGGCATGTCCCGAATCGAAAGAGTCAACAAAGAATTTGATTGGAGTTCCCTAGAGCGAGAATGGAGACCATAAAAGCTTCGAGTTTGAAAAAGAATTACCTGCAAAATAGCTCCATCGTGCAGAATGGTTAACTCGTGTGGTCCCGGGGTTTTCGGAGCGTATTTGACGAGAACTGTGCCTGGAATTTGATCATTGATCATCTTGAAATCATTGCACAATCGATTATGAGCATTATGAATATGAATTTTAAGTACTAATGGTTGTTTAATGGTTTCTGTTTTACCGTCATGGTTGTCGATAATTTGAGCCTCGTCTCTCATTCCCATTGGTGTTGATACCTGGAATCGTCATTGGTTTATAGCCAATTATAGAGCTCAGAAACGCACCCTTTCTGGCACACTAAGCTCTTTATTGTTTTTCATAATAGGAAAGCAGAGAACTTGCGTTTCCATGAGTACAAAGTACCCACCTGAGCTTTCAAAAGATCGCTGTTGATTTGCGCTTTGTCGAAATTGAAGTTAAACTCGCGCTCTTTCAGCTCAGGTGATTGCTCAGATAAGCCGTAATATCTAAAAAGTTTAGTTATTTCAAATTTGAATTGAAAAGCCTCAACCAGTTGAAGCTATTCTCAACCAGTTGAAGCTATTCTCAACCAGTTGAGGCTATTCTCAACCAGTTGAGGCTATTCTCAACCAGTTGAGGCTATTCTCAACCAGTTGAGGCTATTTTAAAGCCTCAACCTTCTCTCGTTGGCCTCGATGGCGCTGTCTCTTCCCTGATTCGAAGTGGATGAGGCTCGTCTGATCGAAGCTAGCTAAAATCTAGGATTTAAAAACCCTTATAATAATATATTTAGATAGATTTGCATATAATTTAATATATAGATTAAATATATAGATTTATCTTCGTAAAATAGAAATTTGTTTTTGTCAAAACACTCAAAACCGACTTTTGAGGGTGATGGCGGGAGGATCACCGCGCAGCGCTCGTTGTTCGCTGAAAAACAGAAAAGTTATAAATATCAATAAATAATATAAATAACATATTTAAATAGATATATAAATCATATAGATATTTATTCTCGTGAATAAAGTCCCATTTTTCGTAATCGGAATCGAACCGTTGATCTCTGGAACGTTGACCAAAACAGCTAGCCATTCGGCCATCAAGTGCCGGCTTTTAAATGGAAATTGAGGAATTTATACGTAAATCTTTGCTGGATTCAAATTTCGCTTTACTTTTTTGGGTTACTGTAGCTTGGGCTTGATTATTGAATTTAAAAGTGTCAAACTTGACATTTTTTCTTTTGACATTCCAATATTGATTTCTTTATTTTCTTTAGAGATTTTATAGATTACTGTAGAATATTTAGACATTTAAAGACAGTAGACATTTCAACTGCACTCGGCACTATTCAACTATTCAATTTGTGAAGATTAGAACTTTAAAATATCATTTACTTCTCTTTCAAATACCTTAAAAACGAGTACTTTTCCGAGGAATTCTTTAGGGATTTTATAGATTACTGTAGTATATTTGAACATTTGGACACTCGACACTATTCAACTAATCAATTTTGATATATTAGGAGCTTTAAAATATCATTTACTTTTCTTTCAAATACCTCAAAAACGAGTACTTTTCCGAGAATTCGACAAAAACGGCTCCCTTTTTTGAGCCTCTGTTTGAAGTTCGGATTGACGATCGAGCTTAAAATTAAAACCAAATTATATATTATTTATATTATTAAAGTCTATTTATGTAGTTTTATTCGAAATGACCTCAATCTGATCGATGTTTTCTTTGCCGGTTTGCGGTGAAATGACGGCACGACTCAATTGGGTAACCGCCTGAAAAAAGCATGGTATTCAGAATAATGGATATTCAGCTAAAAACAAATACAATAAATATTCAATCCTATTGAACTATAGTAAACTTAAAAAAACTTAAAATTGTTTTTTGGCTAAAGAAATAGATATTTTGAGAGATGTTTTGTCAAAAAAATGTTTAAAAAACCAAAATCTCAACATCTGAATGTTCAAATGTTAGAAAAAGTTAGAAAAAGTTTCAAAATTTTACAAAGGGGCCTAGAAGAGGAAGGGCCTGCGGTCTATCCCCTCCGATCTGCCAAGTTAGCAACGTCGGCGCGGGATAGTCGTGGTTTCGACTTTTGTGGGTTCCCCTCCGAGCGCCCCAGCCCGGCCATCGGAGTATCATCGGCTACGACAACTACACTTCTGCCTCAGTCCCCGCACGGCCTCCCTGCTCTCTTCCGGCATAGAGGGATCAAGCAAAGGCCGAGAGATCTAATCACGGGACATAAGGATGCCATATGATGACAATAGCAAGGGATAGAGAGAAATGTGGAAGCAGGTTGTGATCTGCGCAAATAGGGAACGCCTGAGTGCGAAAAACAGATTAAAAAAAACGATTAAAATGCACTTAATTCCAATTTGTCACTGTGTTGTCAATAAATGTCAATAATTGTCAAAAAAAAATGAAAAATCGGCGAAAGTTTTAGCGAATCCCGAGAGATCGACCTTGGTGAGAAAATTGTTGGGAGAGAGAAATTGAAAATAACAAGCATAGATAGAAAATGGCACTTTTTTTTGAGTGCATTTAAAAAATTGCTACAATTTTTCTTCTATTTACACATTATAACGCAAAAAATAGAAATTTGAGCATTTTCAATGAATAGCAATGGTTTGATGGTCTATAACTTCGTCTAGAGATTATAATATTGTTAACTTTTTTTTATAGCATTTTATAGAGGGGATTTTAGGCTTTCAAATGACACCAAATACACTTTGATTGGAAAGTCGAGTCCAGGAAAATGAAGCAATACGGCAGATCGAAATCGAAAACGGTTTCAACTCGGATGCTGTACTGCTTGGTTTTCACGAGAATCGATAAACTAATCATGCTTTATTTGATATTATTTGAAAGCCTGAAATTTCTTCTTTATACAATGATAGAAAAAGTTAACAATAATTATTATCTCTGGACAGTTATAGACCTTTCAAAGCTTAGCTTATTCATTCAAAAAATGCTCGGATTTCGATCAAGAGCCGTTTTATACTAGTTTATACTAGTTTCTTTAGTTTTAGTTTTAGTACAAGTAGCTTCTTTGGGGTATTAAATATAGTTGAAGGTTGTTTTTTTAAAGTTGGTTATTGTTCTTAAAGTTTTTTTAAATGTTGTTATAAAAATTAGATACAAAACGATCATTAGCTTTTTTGGAGAATGGAAAAGTAGGAAAGATAAATATTTGAAAGGGGAAAGCCGAGGTAGGAAAAAAGGAAAAGAGAATAGAAATGGAAATGGAAAAGATCGAAATCTGAGCGCATTCGATTCAGATAGAGATTTGATTGTTTAATCGATTCTTATGAAAACCAGCATTGAATCGAATTGGTCATTTTAAGCTGATCATTAGCTCTGATTTTAAGCTGATCCTGATTTTAAGCTCCACTCCTTTTTTCAATCCATTTGCCATTGAAAATCTACGAATTTTCCTCGTATTTTAGTCGGGTTTTGTTTGTAAAAAAAGTTGAATTTGTTGAATTTGATAGAAAATTTGATTTTGAATCGAAATGTTTGTAAATTCAACATTTTACAAACAAAATACGGCTAAGATACGAGGAAAATTCGTAGATTTTCAATGGCAAATGGATTGAAGAAAGACAAATGGATTGAAGATTGTCAATGACAATGAATGACTGATTCGATTCAATGCTGGTTTTCATAAGAATCAATAAAACCAACAAATCTCTATTTGGTATTTGATATTTTTGAAAATGCAATGCATTTAGCTAGATTTTAAAACGATCATTAGCTTTTTTGGAGAATGGAAAAATAGAAAGATAAATATTTGAAAGCAATTTGAAAGCAACTAGGTAGGAAAAAGGAAAAGAGAATAGAAATGGAAATGGAGAAGAGAATAGACATGGAAATGGTAGGAAAAGAAATAGAAAAGAGAATAGAAATAGAAATAGAAAAGAGAATAGAAATGGAAATGTTTGACAAAAGAAGGGAGAAAAAGGGGGGAAGTTGGTCCAATGAAAAACGTCAATACTGCCTCTCTTTCAGCAGTCCTTTTGAGAAAAAAGATTGAGAGATTTGTGGAGAGAAATGAGAAACGAAAAGAGAAATTAAAACATGCTTTCGTTGCTTTTAAAATCCTTTCGTTTCATCGATTTCATTTCAAATTCTTCTTGAAAACGAATAAAAAAGTAAACTTTGAAGTTTAAAATTCGAAACACAAATTTTCTAATGCACTTCATTTCATTAAATCCCTTCATTTCATTAAATCCCTTCATTTTCTCATTTAGAAAGAAATCTGAAAAATTCAGTGCACTAGGAAATGTGTGTTTTCAATTTTAAGCAGGAAAGTTTAGGACAACTTTAGAAAGCTAATAAATTTGTTTGTTCTTGTTAATTTTTTAAATGAAAACCTTACCTCAAAAGTCACAGTTCCATCGGGCAACAAATCACCGCCATAAACGACATTCACACTCTGTTTCCCGGCTTCAAGTGCACGCAAACGAACGTGGTCCTGAAAAATATATTGATAATTCGATTTTTATACAAATGCTACATAATATTTACTAATAAAAAGATAATATTGAGTTGGTGCATTGAAAACTGCGAGCTATTTCGCGGGACTAGCAGATAAAGAAAACAACAGCATTGAAAGGGGCGTTTTTTTAAAGATAATATTGGGCTGGTGCATTGAAAACTGCGGCCTATTGCGACTCGCAGATAAAGAAAACAACAGCATTGAAAGGGGCGTTTTTTAAAGATAATATTGGGCTGGTGTATTGAAAACTGCGGCCTATTGCGACTCGCAGATAAAGAAAACAACAACATAGAAAGCTTTTTTGTTTACTTCAACATTTCCTCTAATTATTGCGAAAAAATTATCCTTCCAGCTTTTTATTTTTTAGTATTTTTCTTCACTTCTTCTATTGCACTCGACAATCTGCCACCAAGACATATTCGTCATGTCATGCTTCATGAGTTCATGAGTTCTTGAGTTTGAACTTTGAGTTCCTACAAGAGCACAGTGCAGGCTTGGCAGCTGCTAATATTAAAAAGATATATGGGACTCACCTTCCGAAAGAACGTGTCAAGTATGGTTTGCCAAGTTTCGTGTTGGGAATACATCTTTGAAAGATGCAAAGAGCTGTGGAGCGGCACCCCAACTGGATGACTCCAAATTACTCGAACTCATTACCAACGACCATCGGGTGTCATCGCGTGAATTGGGAGAAGAGTTAGGGGCTGATCATGCTATAGTGCTAAAGCATCTTCATACCATTGGATTTAAATCGAAACTTGGGGCTTGGGTGCCCCATGACCTCACTGACCCCCAGAAGTGGCAGTGCACCTCGATCAGTGCCACCCATCTCTCACAATACAAAAGGAAATCTTTTCTTCCTTGAATTGTGATAGGAGATGAGAAATGGGTTTTATCTGTGAACTTTCGGAGGAAGTGGCAATGGGTGGGGCCAGGCGAGAAACTGGAAAGTGACCCTAAGCCTGATTTGCACCAGAAGAAGTTTATGCTCTGCGTTTTCTGGGATATGGAGGGAGTCGTGTAATGGGAGTTGCTGGATAGTTGCTGGGAGTTGCTGGATAGCAAGACGACCCTTAATGCAATCAAATACAGTGAACAGTTGGGAAAGGTGAATGAATCCCTGAAGAAGAATAGGCCCTCCAAGTCAAAGATCGTTCTCATCCACGACAACGCGCGCCCTCATGTTGCAAAACTGACTCGCTCTAAAATAAATAGCCTTGTTTGGGAACTTTTGGCGCATTCCCCATACAGTCCAAAGAAGAAGTTTATGCTCTGCGTTTTCTGGGATATGGAGGGAGTGGTGTAATGGGAGTTGCTGGGAGTTGCTGGGAGTTGCTGGGAGTTGCTGGGAGTTGCTGGGAGTTGCTGGATAGTTGCTGGATAGTTGCTGGGAGTTGCTGGGAGTTGCTGGGAGTTGCTGGGAGTTGCTGGATAGTTGCTGGGAGTTGCTGGATAGTTGCTGGGAGTTGCTGGATAGTTGCTGGGAGTTGCTGGGAGTTGCTGGGAGTTGCTGGATAGTTGCTGGATAGTTGCCGGGAGTTGCTGGATAGCAAGACGACGGCAGAAGTCGTCAATAATAATGGAAATTATTTGGAATGAATTGATGGTTTTATGTTGTATAAATTTTAGTTCAAAGTCCCGCAATTTTCAATGCACCAACCCAATAGTAGGATTTATTTTCGACCTGAATTTTCCCGTCAACTCTCTTTTGAATGATCTCGGCCATAAGCGCTTCTGGATGAGATTTGAGAAGTGAGAGATGAGCCTCAAGCTCGTCTTCATCTCGCTCGATTATTAGGAACTTATCCTCACCCAACAACCATTCATCATCAATTGGACGGACTATAATAAGTAATGTTTAGTACAGTTACTGAATTATTGAATTTTCCAGCTTCACTAATCCTTGAAAGCTTTCTAGAACTTTCTAGAACTAGTAATTTTCGTTTTAGTTTGTCTACTGTGATTCTAGGGTTCACAAAAGATATCTACAGTATTTCGCCGTACTCCAGCGTACTCGTAATCCAATAGACTCCTACTCCAGTACTAGATTGGATAAAGTAAGCAAGATTAGAGAAGTTTTCGAAATTTGACACTAAAATGAACTAATTTAGAGGTACACTATGGCTAGATCGAATCGGCTAAAGTGACAAAACAAACTAAACTATCTTAAAATACTTTCTTCAACGAACCCTTCACTCTCGCATTCTCTACATTGCCCACAGGTCTCGCGTGTATTCTCAACGGTCTTTCCGATATCTTTTCCCCATTCACAAGTGCATCCACTGCATAAACTCCGGCTAGATCGGTGGGGAAATGGATTGAATGAAGACGATCACCAATTTCTTCGATTGTACAATGACGAGAGTGACCATCAGGTCCCTGGAATCAAAAAGTGAAGGAATTAAACCCTTGACCTTCTGCTTTCCAATTGCTCTAACCACTGAGCTATCCGGTAGCTTGCCAAGAGAAAGAGGGAAAGACAAGGGGAAGAATGGAAGAAGGCAAGAAGGGAAGAAGGGAAGAAGGGAAGAAAGGGGAAGAAGAAAAGGAAGCAGAAGATCACGGTTCTGAAGAGCCATTCTCTTCAGAACCGTGATCCCCGCTCTACTTAAAATGTAAAAACGTACAGTGATTGCAGTCGCAGCTTTTTTCACTTGACCACAAATCATTCGTATTCAATTGGCAAATGAGCATCTGATCCCAGCAGAGACAACACTTCCATCTCTAGTTGCTTCCAAATGTGCTTTTTGTGGCTCACAAGAGGCGACCAAGTGTATCAAGAATGGGCTGGAAAATAGGATTTTACAATCAGAGAAACTCTACAGTTTTAGATTGGGTTAAATATTCTTCTAAAATATTCTTCTAAAATACTCTTCTAACCTTTCTTTCCAATGGTTCTCCATCATATGAAATCTCTAATGGAATGATGTCTTCCGGTTTCCCCGTGTCGGTTCAATTTCCCACCACATTTACACCCCGACGACTGCTCAGACTCAAGTCACTGGGTTGGTTTTGATCTAAAGTTAGTTATTTAGCAGTTGTGTAGCAGATCTGATAGATCCATCTTTATCTTTTTCCTTTCTCCTACCTGGTGGAAATCTTGCTGATCACCTCTCCGGCAGCTTCTTTTGAGGCATCAACCACAATGGTACTTGTCGCGCCAAGACGATGCTAAAGTTTCGATTTTGATTTTGTTTTTGTTCATCTTCATATTCACCTTTCCATTGTCTGGCGGCTCAGCCTTGATCTTACTATTGTCTTTCTTGTAGTCGGCGAATGCCATAAAGGGTGAGCCTAAATTGATCAAGAAATCAATTCAGTTTGATCAACCTAACCTGGTATATGCCTTTTTCTCCTCTCCATACAAGATCGCGATTTGATAAGCGCCGGGTTCTTTCGTGATGTAATCGACTTTGCACGATCCATTCTGGAAATCTGTTACTTGCGTCTCTACTTCCATTGGGCCGCTGATCTCCAGGGCGAGTGCACCATCGCCTGCGCCCTAAAATCGTTTACTGAAATACTTTTGTGTTCTATCATGAGTGTTCACTAGACTTGAGAAGAGCTTGAGAAGAGCTTTGGAGACTTTAGGGTTACCTAAGAAGACTTTAGAAGAAGTAGTACTACCGTCCAACCAACTACAGAGCTCAACAGAAAACCTTTTGTTATCTTTTACTTGCAAAACATCTTTTCCCCCACTTCTACAAACCTGTGTATCAATTTGAAACGTGGCCTTCTCTCTCGACAATCGACTTTTTCCAATCCAGGTCCATTTGCACAACACTTTGACGCATCTTGTCGCTTGATGTACACGAAAAACGCCTCTTCAATCGGAATCTCGTGAAAAAGCAACTAAAGAATAGAAGCGATAAGAGTATTGAAGAGTTTAATGACTAGAGTGCTTCATCGAGTTTACTACAAACCCTTTACAGAGCACACTCAATTCTTTTCATTTAAGTTTTCATTTGTTTCTAGCACACCTGAATTCTCAATTCTTTCTCCAAAATAAAAGTTCCCATTTGTTTCCATTTCTCGACTTCAAATTTCACTAAGATACCTCAAGTTTCGTCTCTCCAATATCATTAGCGATGGATTGTGCCTCATACTTTCCATTGAGTTTCTCACACGGAATAAGCACTCGTTTCTCATTTGGCAATGTCGCAATGAATTACCAAATCCTTTTGTCTGCGCTTCAGTCTTTCCCGTATCAACTTTAGCTTTTGCCAAATAGCCGGTGAGAACATCGGCTGAAAATTAAACAATTTTAATAGATAAATAGGCTGATTCAGGAATATTTTATAGTCTATGTTGGCTTGAGCTTCTTGATATTTTGTAAGCTTTAATCTCCTGAATACATTTAAATTCAAGCAGAGATAGAGTCTGATTGCCTGATTTTTAAGTCTGATTCTATGTGAATCTAGTTTTCATAGAGCAGGCAAGTCAATGAGGCTCTATGAGGACTAAACCAAGAATAAGCTAAATGTTGGTTTGAGCTTCTTGATCTTTTGTAAGCTTTGATCTCCTAGATTGAGCTGATAAATCAGTGCATTTTTGTAAAAGCATTTATTCCAATATTTCTGAGAATTCCCGTATTTTCACATCAAAAAATTATGTACACAAATTGAGAAAGAAAAAAAACCAAATTTTTTGAGGATAATTTATAAAGAAGAAACCCTGATTTGAGAAAATCAATTAATTTGAAAGCTTTTGGACTTTAAAATCTTTATATGCATTGTTGTGGAGTTGATGAACCGGAGGAGAAGCGGTGTGGATGGTGAAGCCATCTTGTCGCTGATCGGCGATCATTTTTGGAGATGACAACATCGGTGCTGAGGCTACTACACTAAAGAACAAGAATTTAAGAATAAAGCATTAATCCTATAAGATGAATGTTTAATGAAACTTATTTCTTAATTTACTTGAAAAGGGCTTCCGGGGACGTGTTGTTCTTCCAAACATCACCCTCCGTCCAGTACATCCCGGGAGTCCTTGGCACATAGTTTACATGCTGCAAGTGCCATCATGATTGTCCGACACAATGGATTGGTGTCCGTGTTGGTCCATCAACGAAAGATCGATATTCCCAAAGCCAGCTCTTGATGCATCGATGTGGACATGAGTGGATCGAGTGGCAATCACAGGACCTAGTCCTGGCCCTGAGATTACGCACAAGGTCAGCTCGAGGGTGGACCGGAACAAGACACCACGTATTCAGCTTCTAAAGGAAAGATGACTGTACTTAGTAGTTCGTACTACTGTCAGAAAGTCAATCAAGACTCACCTGAAGCATTCGCGCCAGCTTCGGGCACTGAATGAAGCAAGAAAGGACTTGTTTCAATGGCGAGATCCTCGTATGTGACCGAAATCGAGTAATCCCCAATCTCCGACGGTGTAAACAGCACTCGGAAACCCGTTGGTGTCGACTCGATCAACGCCTCGACCACTCGCCCTGATGGACTTGTAATCAAAATCCTTGTATTCTCTCCATCCGACGTGAACACGTGCACCTCTTTCTCGCAGTTCACTGTCACAATGGCTAAAGTCAATGATGATTAAAAGTCAATGATTAAGAAAAATAGATGAATGAGAACAGCAATCCATAACAAAACACTTAGAAATACTAGAGAAACGAAAAACGAAATAAAACAACATACAGGCAAGTTTTAAAAACAAAAAAACCAGAAAGAAAAATGGCTTTGAAAAAACGCGCAATGCTAATGTTAACGTTTCTTCAACATTTGAATGAACATTGATGCTTTTAGTAAAACAAATAAACAAAAATCTTGCATTGTCAATGTCAAAATACTCATGCAATTGAAAAACAAGCCATTCTCAAGTCCTTCCACTCCAATTCCCACCTCGATCCACATGCGGTTTCACATTGATCTCAATCGGTGGACCGTCAACACCAGCGAACACAACGTTTAACTAAAATTAAAGATAGATGAACTGAAATGAACTGATATGAAATGCTTTCTTCTTTCAACTTATTCTCTAGCATTATCGAACTTTAAAGTCTACCTGATATGCGCCTGGTCTTGGTGCAGTGTGCTTGACGGTGAATGATCCGTCTTGATTGTCGAGTACGTCAATGTCCACCGCTCGACCGTCGCGATCCGCAAGAGCTACCTAGAAAAAGTTTAGCTTTTATATATACCGTAAATACTGTAATAGTATCCCCCCCCCCCCGCCCGTACAGTCGCGTAGTCGCAAAAGTTTTTTAGTATTTTGTTAATCAAAGCTTTTTCAAAGCGCCCGTACTTTCAAAAAATGCGTCTTTGGTATCAAAAATGGCTGAAATTCAGGGCTATTTTTTGATACCAAAGATAATGTCAGTGCGGAGTGTTGCGTAGTCTAGCTTTGAATGCGTTTTTCTCGACACTCGTTTAAGCTACAATGCTCATTTAAATATCAAAAATAGCCCTGAATTTCAGCTATTTTTTGATACCTAAACTGAGCATTATAGCATAAACCAGTGTCGAGAAAAACTCGTTCAAGCTGAACTACGCAACACTCCGCACCGTCATTATGAGCGGTGGGGTCGAATTACGGTATTTACGGTAGTTGCCCAGATAGCCTAGGCTGGCTTAGATCTATAATCACTTACCTCAACAGCGCCTGGTCCAGCCTGTTTAGCGTCAATAGTGAAATGAGTGGGTTGTTGGCTGACCACCGGTCCTTCCACTCCTGGCCCGAAAATGTTCAACTTCGATGCATCAATTTTCTCCTCAACGTTTAGCTAAAGATTTAATTAGGCGATAGTGCTCTTGTGCTTGTTACAGCAATGATTGTCTAGTTGCTGCTAGTGTTAAAGTTGAAACTCAAAGTCAACTCACTGGGAAAGGTGCTCTGGTACGGCTACCCCATTCACTCCAATATTCACAAAGGTGTGCCCCAGTGTCTTTCGGCGTGAACGAACACTCGTACAACCCTGGATTCACCTCTCGCATTGATGGAATGATTTGTCCGTACTTTCCATCGACCACACTCACGTGGGGAAGAAGATCGGCTAAAGAGTGATAGGTTTTGAGTTCAAAGATAAGATCGAGGTGGAATTTGAGTGGAAAGACTTGTGATTCGTGGCATTTACAAGTTCATATCAAGATCTAATCTTTGATTTTTCTGGTTCCTATTTACTTTATGTCTTCTATTTTTTGTTTTCTTTTCACCAGTCTTTTGTTTACTTTATGTGTATCATCAAAAACTCAAATAGAGATTTCTATTTTTCATGGATAAATTTAAAATTCAAACAAAACTATCGACAAATTCATTGTTTCATTCAAATCAAATTTGATCAATCAACTCAGCACTTAATTGATCAATTCGTGCATTTGAAAGCTTTAATGATCCGATTGGAATGGGTTCATCTTTGCCGAAACATCAAATCTGATCATCTTCAAGTCCATCGACATCATTCAATCATTGAATCTAATCTTGAGCACTTGTTTTCGAAAAAAAACGTCGAGAAATCTTGAGCTTCGCCTTTCAATGCTCACTTATTCTCTAAGCTTAATCGACGTCGAATATCCACCTTCTTTTAGCTTGATTAGCTTGATTCTTCCTACATGAATTGATCCTTTTGATGGATCCAGCCAAATTTCTTGCTGGCGAAGTTTGTCACCTACATACTTCATTGTTTCCAACTGAAATCTTGAAATAATTTCCTTTTTGTGATGTTTCATCTACAGTTTCTTCTGAATTGTCTTTTTCTCTTGACTTTCTCTTGAATACTCAACATCTTGAATACTCAACATCTTGAATCACGTCATCAACGTTGTTCCAATCGAGATCTCCCAAATGTTCGCAAAGAATTCAAGTTGCTTGTGTTCTCAGCGATCAGGAAACTCCTCAAGTCTGACTTCTCGATGCGATTCCTTGGTAAAGCTTTCCACGAGTCAACGATCCTGCAAGTGGATTTCCATTGATTCAGCCATTTCCGGCGTTTGTCTTCTCGTGATCTTCATCGACAATCCATTTTTTATAGAAATAACCAATTTTGGGCTTAAACGGCGGCCAAGAGGGCACCAGCTGGTTAAACTAATTTTGTAATTCTTCCACGTTCAACTTGATCGATCTCAACTTCGTCTGCTCGCTGATGTGACAAACTGTCCCATACCAACACGGGGTATTTTTAATGATAATAATAATAATTTCCCCCACTTACCACCAGCATTTTTCGTGTCAATCCGGAAAGTTGTCTTCTCTCCTTTTGTCGCTTTTTTCGTCTCCGAGTCCCGTCACTCGAACAGCTGATGGTCGAATCGATTGGTTCGCTGGGTCAACCTAGAAAGATAACAGAATTATCTGTTTAACATTATCTTTATTATGGATTTGATAAATCAAAGGACACTGAAGCATTGAAATATGACTTCAAAATTGGCTAGAGTAGGCTGGCTAGAGTAGGCTGGCTAAAGTAGGCTGGCTAAAGTAGGCTGGCTAAAGTAGACTGGCTAGAATAGACTGGCTACAATGGGCTGGCTACAATAGGCTGGCTACATTAGGCTGGCTACAGTAGGCAATAATATTTAAAAACTATCATACCCAGACGACGAAAGGACTGTCGCGAATGTGCTCGCCTTTGGAGAGGATGTTGATCTTGTAGACACCACTTTCTTTTGGCTGAAAAAATTAAGCATATTATAAAATTGCTGTTTTGTTTTACTGTAATAGACCCTCAATAGAATGTAATAGAATTTTAAAATCCTCACCGTATACTCGACAAGCGCTTGTCCCTGTCCTCGATCAGCGCACTCGATCGCCGTTTTGCTCGGTCCTTCGATGGTGAAAGCTGAAAAGTTTAACGATATCTTGAAACTACTGTAGGAAATGTATTAGATGTTTTAGCTAGCCTCACCCAAGCATCACTATCGCCGTGTGTATTCACATAGAAGAGATTCGGTTGTTGCGCAATTCCACCTTCTAAACCGGGTCCGAACGCGCGCACTGGAGATTTCGAAGTTGGACTGACAGAGACCTCGTACGGAGTTTGACCGATTGGTTCACCCGCATTCAGCACTTGAACCTAAAATAAAGATATTAAGCTATTAAGCTATTAGCTATTAGCTATTAAGCTATTAAGCTATTACCGGAACTTATTAACATTTTCTTTTACCTATTATCTATTTAATCTATTGAATTATTTATTTAATCTATTGATAATCTATTATTATCTATTGAATTATTTATTTTATCTAATTTTACCGTACCCGATAGACTCCTTCAGTTGTCGGGGTGTACTCGAATTTCGCTCGACCATTTGAAATCGTCCGTGTCACCGCAACTTTTCGACTGTGACCTAGATTTTTATTTTTATTCAAAAGAAATATATTCATATAAGATTTCTCTAAGTATTAGTTATATTATTATTTAATTATTCACGAATTTCCTCACCATCTACCACTTCGACGCTGATCGGTGCTTTATTGATGTCATCGCTTGAATCCGAAGACGACGGTTGAACGTAGATTGGAGCCTAAATACCTTTAGATATAAACTATTCAGCTAACTATTTAATATACCGTAAATACTGTAATAGTACCCCACCGCCCTCGTACAGTCGCGTAGTCGCAAAAGTTTTTTAGTATTTTGTTAATCAAAGCTTTTTTCAAAGCGCCCATAATTTCAAAAAATGCGTCTTTGGTATCAAAAAAAATAGCTGAAATTCAGGGCTATTTTTGATATTTAAACAAGCATTGTAGCATAAACCAGTGTCGAGAAACCGCGTTCAAAGCTAGACTACGCAACCTCCACACCGTCATTATCGGGGTGGGGTCCAATTACAGTATTTACGGTACGTATTCCTATAAACTATTCAGCTAACTATTTACGATAGCTTTATTTTATACCTGTCTACTCTATCTATTTATCTACAAGCTATGGTAAAAATTCAACAAATTAAAAATTCAATTCAACTTTTAGATTTATAGATTTATAGAATTTTCCTAATGAGATTTGACTTTTGTAACTTTTCAACTCTGTTTTATGAATTCTTTTAGGTACAATAAGTTGTGTAAAATAAGATTTTAACGCTTAAATGTATTATAAATGTTTCTATAAGCTTTAAATAACAATTTAAACAATTTTTGTGAACCTTATCTCCCACGCAAACTCCATCCGATTGCAAACCTCGACCCCACGTTTCCCAAGAGCCTGAAAGTAAAGAGATTTGAAATAGATTTTTCAGATAAATGCTTTGTTTAGATGATTGCACATTTTGCTCACTTTTTGGTAACACTTTTAATCGGAAAGGACTGCCGACAATCGCTGATCCACGATGGAAAGCATTCACCGAGTGTGTTCCCGCCATTCCCAATGGATAATCAGCAATGTAACAACCCGGAATCGTTGAACCTCAAGAATAAACTTTAATCATTGATTCAAATCAAAATTTAATCAATTTAATCATCTCTTTATTTACCGGAATTTTCTCAAATAGTAGTGCACCCCGGCGAGCCGAGTTGATGACTATTTACGGCTTCCAAAGTTTTCCCAGAAGCTCAACACTCTAATCATCGTCAAGATCTCATCGTCAGCTACCAAAACCTTAATATTTTTAAAAAAAACCCCACACCCCAAAAAAAAAAAAAAAAAGAAACCCCCCCATTCCCCCTAATCCCCCCCCAACCCCCCCCCGCCCCCCAAAACCATTATTTTTACCAAAATTTTCCCCCAAAACCAAAACACTAAACCCCCACAAAAATCCTTTATCATTTTCCGCCCCCTACATCGATAGGTTCTGATAAGCGGTTCTCGAGATTTCGAGGAATTTAGGCGACTATTATTACAGAAAATACGGCATGCATTTTACGGCGGAATTTGTTAGCTTGCGTACTTTCCCCTTTCCGTGTACACAACCATTCCCACGTCACTCCTTTATTTTCTCAGAAACAAGAAAAAGACTTCTTAGTGCACCAGAAAAGCTGTATTTTGCGCACAAAGTCTAAAAACTCACCAACAACTGGTAATTTATGCTCTTTCCGTCTGAATCCACGACAACAACGTCAACCGGCCCATCCCCAGCATTCTCGATCTCAAACGTTTTCACTTCACCAACCTAAGCATATACTTTTTAGATGTGTGAGCTGTGCTGACCTTTCCGGATCCTCCAAAGTCTAGCATCCTTGCTCCTTCAATCACTCGAACTTCAGCTGAATCACTCGCCCCTCTCACCGCTGAGAATCGATGTGGTGAAGAGGGAAATCTAATCGAAGTTTTGTGTCACTAAACTATTCTTTCTGTTACCTTTGCCGTTCCGACTTTCTCAGGCGTGTACTTGACATTGTAGTTGCACGTGGCTGGGATCTTGTTCACAGTGAAGTGAATGTCCTGACCGTGCTCGTCTTGGATCGAGAGCTGCAAGGTCATTGTAGAATTAATCTAGCTATGCAAAACCCATAGAGTTCTAACCTGGCTGTAAACTAGGGCAGATTCAAGACTGGCTAGTCTGTTAGATATTTTTGGCTTTCTGGCTAGTCTGTTAGATATTAGATAGTCTGTAAAGCTAGAAGCTAGGCCAGGATCCGGTTGATAGCTTTGTTCTGGCTTAGCTCTAGGTAGCCTGTAATAATCTGGCCTGGTTGACTGGCCCGATTGATTGATTTCTGGATCTAGCTTTTGATCCTCTGGATCCAGGCTGGATTTTGGAGAATTTTTTGGGTCAGCAATAAGAAAACAGGGCAGGACCTGCTTTTGCCAACGAAGAACCTTGGAAACATTTGTTCAAACCTTTGGTTTATGCTCATCTGTTGGCATGATCACATGAAAATCGGCGGCTCGTCCAGCGATCGCTGTCACCTCAACTCCATGCAATTTCCCCTTCCTCATCGGTGGTTTTACCTAAACTTTTTCCATTTACAATTCACCACGAAATTCCCATTCAATGTTAGTTAGGGTTTTTGGGAGAAAACGATTATTTGAGGGGAGATTTTTGGCAATGGACTACCTCGATCTCTATCGACGATTGCCTTTTTTCTTTCAGAGCCTGAAAAATCCGGGAAACAGTTTGATTTACACTTGTACTTTGTGCCTGCTTAAATGCACGCTTTCTGGCACACTTGTGAGTTGTTTATGTCAGAAAGCATGCGTTTATTTTAAAGTACAAAATACGACGCTGATCTAAGTACTACAGTAAGCTGTTGTCTGCTTTTTTTATATCAAAAATCGAGTCTCACCTGGGGAAACTGTGCCAAGTAAGTCATCACAGATTTCTCGTCAGCATTTGGATTGATTAATTCTTCTGGGGTGATTAAAGGGGCCCTCCGAGTTCTTGTGCAGCAGCAGTCATGGCTCTTCGCGTGTTATCAGCACCTCATCTGGTTCCCAGTTTCGCCAATCTGACACAGAGTCAGGCGAGATTGAGTTCACCTAGAGTTTGAAGTCAAATTTTAAATCCAAGAATCAAGAAAGTCAACCGAGTCTGGCTTGATTTAAATTACAAAATTCAGCCTATAGCCTTCGGCCGTGGCCTATCCCCCCCCTCCCCCCCCCCCACCACCCCCCCTCCACCACCCACCCCAACCCCCCCACCCCAAAAAGCCTATAGCCTTCAGCCTTCAGCCTTCAGCCTTCAGCCTTCAGCCTTCAGCCTATAGCCTTCGTTTTTTTTTAAGCCTTCAGCCTATAGCCTTCAGCCTTCGTTTTTTCTTTTTTTTTTTTTTTTTAGCCTTCAGCCTTCTTTAAACAACTTTAATTCCCTTCAATCAATTATATATATAGCCTAAATTCAGCCTTTCTAGTTTGTTTAAAGCAATATTCTTGATAGGAATAGCTGAATTTATTTGGTTAAATGCTCAAGATCGAAATGTTTGTTGAAATCCCACTCACCAAGCCACCCAACGCCAAGCCATCATTCCAATCATAAGTGAAATTCGTCACTGGGCACATCGTCAGGCAATTTCCTTCGAATCCATTGAAGCAATCGCTGTTTCGGGGTTTTGTCTGGCTCACCAGCTGGTCGCTCATCTTCCTGAAAAGAGCAATTCGATTTCAAATCTATGAGCAGCATTTTTCCTAACCTCCATATGAATTGAGATTGAATAGTGTAAGATGAGAGTCCAAATCAATCCTAGGATCAATTTCTTGTTCATGTCGACAATGTGAGAAGAATCTGAACGGATTTTGATGTGCTTTAGATGGTTAAGTACTGAATTTGAGTATTGAATCTATAGAACTATCTATAGAGCTTCCCTCTATAGAACTATCTATAGAACTCCCCTCTACAGATCTATCCATAAAACTCACCAATATTCACAATCTTTATTCCTTCATCGTTTTGGAGAAAATTCAACGCCACTGACACGTTCTCGAGCTTCTGATGACGGAATTTCACCTGGAAACTTTTAAAAACAAATGATGACTTTTCGTTTTCACTTATCTGAATACCCTACTCACTATTCATCTGGAGCACTGTATCTTACTGTAAACTCTCTAGGCAATAATCTGATCTAATGATTCAGATTACTGTATGAGTGACACCCACCTGGGCACTGTATCGACCGACATGTCTCTGTGATAACACTTTAACCAATTTAATCAATTTGAGACCGTCAGAGAAATCACTTTCCTGAAATAATATTACTTTTCTAACATATCTAGTTTTCAGCAACTATAGACAGGAGCGATTGCAAAGCCGCACAAAGAACATTCATTTATATAGGGATTCTCTTTTGTTCTGTAAACGCAAATAAGATTTAATGTTAAAAAATACTGTAGTTCAGAGAATCTATTGGCGGAGTTGATTTTAATCATTTATTATAAGAAACTAATTGGTTGATTGGTTGGTTGTTTGTTTGTTTGTTTGTTTGTTTGTTGTTTGTTTGTTTGTTTGTTTGTTTGTTGTTTTTGTTTGTTTCTTTGTTGTTTCTTTGTTTATTGTTTCTTTGTTTCTTTGTTTCTTTGTTTCTTTGTTTCTTTGTTTCTTTGTTTATGTGTTGTTTGTTGGATTTTTTATGATAAGACAATGATAAGACTCAGATTTCCAGAGTCGAACTAGAATCCCTAACTCACAAGATGGTGTATCTCGTCGGGGACTTTCTTCAAGTGATTATTCACCCATCGCGTGAATGTGTTCAATTGAATATTCTTCCATTCAGCATCGGGTTGAAGTGAGGGAGATGACCTGAGGACAAATATAAATAAATAAATCGTTAAATAAATCAAGAATCTCCACGATTTCCCTTCAATTTTCTAGGCACAATTTCAATTATTTTACTAATAAAAGGATATTGAAAATGCTATTGATTTAGCTTTTTTTTTGCTTTTTTCGCTGTTGATTGATATTTTGCTACTTGAACACATCACTTTTCATCTTCGTAAAAACTTTCTTGAATTTCGTGGAGAATTTCTTGGAAAGAAAGGGGTTTATGGGTCAAATTTCCAAGCTTTTTTCTCCGAATCCGAATCCTTTTCTACTCAAGCAGCTGTTATCAAAGAAAATAGAAAATTCAAAGGATTTCTTGAATTTAGAATTATAGTATAGGAAGTTTTTTTGATATAAAAAATACAAAAATACAAAAATATAACTTTAAAGCTTCAGTGAATCATTTCTTTAAAAAAACTTGATCTTTTAACCTTTTTAACGCTCTAAACCATTCTTGCGAATCTATTAGCATTCTTTTCTTTATTTCGGCTGCATAAATGTATGCTATTGATTTTTTTTTTCTTCATTTCACTCACCGGTTCAGGTTCCCGGTCATCGGCGTGAAGATTTGTCATTTGACAGTCAAATGTGAGAGGAGAGATTGAAGAGGAGAACTCCCTCAAAAAGAAGAAAACAATCCACAACTCGATTCACAACTGGAAACATGAAAAATTCCATGAAATTGCATGAAAAATTCCAATTAGACAAAAAGAACAAAGAAACAGACTGAAATGATGCAATCAAGAGCATATTTGGCAAAAGGTTCAGGTTCCCGGTCATCGGCGCGGGTTTTGTCATTTAGACGATGAAATGTGGAGAGATTGAATGTGGGGAGAATGTGGGGAGATTGAATGTGGGGAGAATGTGGGGAGATTTATCAAAAGCAAAAGCATATTTCATTTAAAAACGGCAACTCTTAAGGGCTTCGAATGTTTAGATGATGAAAATTTTAAATGAGAATTCTAAAATGTAAATCTGTCAAAGAAATGTTGAGCTTTGTGACACCTATCTTTTGATTCGGATTCGTGAAATCTATCTTTATAATATAAAAGATAGTGTACGTTTAAGCTCCTGCTCGAGTTTTGATCAGTTTTAAACCAGTTTAAACCAGTTTAAACCAGTTTTAACCAGTTAATCCAGTTTTAAACCAGTTTTAACCAGTTTAAACCAGTTTTAACCAGTCTAAACCAGTCTAAATCAGTTTAAACCAGTTCTAACCAGTTTTAACCAGTCTAAACCAGTTTAAACCAGTCTAAACCAGTTTTAACCAGTTTAAACCAGTTTTAACCCAAATACAAAACTTACTAAGCAGCTGAAATCTTAGAATTGAATAAATCAATCAATAGAATGAATCTTTTAAAATAAAATAAGCTAAAATGATAGATAGAATGAATTGATAAATCTGGAAAAGAGATCAAAGATTTAGATAATAAAATGAAAGCAAAGCTAAGCCGTCTATAATATAATCTACTCGAAATTGTCGATTGTCCACTCCTGCAGGCTTTAGTTTAGATTTAGTATGGCTTAACTTTCTAATTTCTTCTAATTTCTAATTTCTAATAAACTCTTACACTTTGGTATATCAAAAATGTTACAATAACTTTTATCATCTTAAACTTAAACTTAAACTCAATCAAAAGGGTCAGGGTCGCTGTTTTTTTCATTCTTTTGCTCAGGAAGCGAGTTTTCAGGTGGAAAGGGGAAATCTTTGCCGACGACGACGTCCCCTATCCGCTTAAACATTTGGATTAACAAAAGAAATTGAATAATTCATTCTTTTCATTTACCTTTTAACATTAAAACTTTACAAAATCCCTAGATGATTGTTGTTAACTTTTCAATATTTTAGCTTCGATCTACATATAATCTACTCGAAATTGTCGATTATCCACTGTCGATTATCCCGGTAATTTTTGTATATCAAAAACGTTACAATAGCTTTTATCATCTTAAACTTAAACTTAAACTCAATCAAAAGGGTCAGGGTCGCTGTTTTTTTCATTCTTTTGCTCAGGAAAGCGAGTTTTGATAGATAGAATGAATTGATAAATCTGGAAAAGAGATCAAAGATTTAGATAATAAAATCAAAGCAAATCTAAGCCATCAAATACTCTTGAATCAATGAAAATACTCTTGATTCAATTCACTCCACACTTAAACAAAGACAAACGTTGATAAAGAAAAGATTTGTCGAATCACTTTTTCAAAAAAAAAAAAAAAAAGTTTTAAGCAAGAAAGCAAAAAAGAAAGTTGAGACTTCGATTCATGAGGGGAAGTGGACTGGAGAGATCGACAGTTGGTGTGTTCAGCCTCGAGACTTTTCTCCTCCTCGTGTCCCAACACCGATCGACTCACTCATCTCTTTTTTTTTTCCTTCAACCTCTTTCTCCCGGATTTTCTTTTTTCTTGAGGATCAATTGCCCAACGAGACCCCACGCTTTCTCCGATTTTTCAGAAAGAAAAAAAAAGTGAAAACAAGTGTTTTCCCCATAGTTTGATCATGGAAGATATTGAAGGAAATGAGGGTTCAATTGTTGAGAAAGAGGACAATACAAGGCTCATCAGAGAATTCTGAATGTTTTGAGGACAATACCAACCTCACCAGAGAATTCTTTAGTTAGATTTTAGTAACGATCTAAAAAAACTCGCTGGTTAAGAGCATTTCAAAACATTCAAACTTGCCATTTTTGCCAGCCATTTTTGAAATATAAAGTTTCATCAAATTTCGCTAAGCTAGCTTAGTTAACGTTTTACCGCTGGCACACCCCCTTGCCTTGATAGCCTAGTGGATAGTGGGTTAGCGCGTCGGTCTGTTCGCCTGGGCTTTGTCCCTGGTTCGGATCCATTGTCGGCCAGACGAACTCAGGAAATTACTTTTTTTCATCAGTAATCTCTGAAACAGATTATATTGATGTAAAAAAAGTTCCAAACTTTTAAATAATTGACTCCAGCCACTTTTTGGGTTTCTCTAGTTCTCTAGAGTCTAGCTCTTCACTTGACAGTGAAGAGCTAGACTCTAGACAATCACCCAATCCCGAGTGCGCTAAATTAGATGAACTTCTAAGCTTTCTAAGAAACGGGTGCACTAGAACGATGTAAGTTAATAACACTGAGCTCAAAGTACAATTTGGTAAACAAGTAACAAGACTTTGTTACAATAAAAATATAATATCAAAAGATTTTAAGAGACAAATGAGCCAAAAAAGTAGCGATGATTTTTTGAGGTTGAATCAACGATAATCCAAAAATTACGAATCGGGGTTCGTTGCCGAGAGAATTTTGTCATCAAAATTTCAATTTCAAAAACAACCTTTAAAAGAAATCAAAAAATCAAAAAAATCAATCAAATTATAAAAGATTTTTTTCAAGAATGACTCAGAAAAGTGTTTTTTTCTCCCGTTTCTTTTCACTCGCTCAAAATTTCATTCTTTTTCTAATGTTTCATTGATATTCTACAGTTTTTGAATTAAAAAAACGTCAGAAATTATGTGGGGAATCGCTTTTGAGAAAGCAAAACGCAGAAAAAAGAAAAAATGAATTGTTGAGGATTGGAAAAATTGGAATATCACGTTTCTTTTCTTCTTCAGTTGACTCGGATTTCGAGCTTGAATACAAATTTAGAGAGGTTTCAAGCAATATTTGTTTTTGCTGGCTTGCTGGCCGGCCTGAATCCTCACCGGGGACATTGACTTCTCCTGCAACTGGGCGCTACGGGGCTAATCGGGTTAATCAAGCTGTCAGTCGAATGTCGCAATCTATTTAACCTGGATTCAGATTTATTATAAATACGAATACCCGATTCGAATTCTCATATTCTCAACAAAACTCTTGGGTACAAATTTCAAAGTACAACTTGAATTCCTAATGTACTGGATTTTGGTT